GGTCCTTGATCGAATGCTCATCAGTGGCCGGCAGCCCTGGAGTGTGCGAGGTTGGTGAGCCAAGAGACGTTCGAGTTGTACGTAAGAACGCGAGGCGGTGGTGCTACGTACCACTCGGCGAACCACTTGCCCATGGCCTCGCCGTCGTTGGCGAGCCAGCGGGCGTTGGAACGGATCTTCTCCACCGACTGCTTGACGGCACGCTCGGCGGCGGGGGCCTTGTTGACGGCGAAGAAGGCCTCCACCTCCTTGGCCTTCTCCTCGGTGGTGAAGTCGGCGGAGGTGGTCTGCACCAGGCGCGACAGCAGGAAGCCGCCGTCGTAGCGGGTGAACAGCTCGGTCCACTTCTCCTGCACGAACTTCCACGCCAGCTCCCTGCCCTTGGGGTTGGCGGCAACGCCGGCGATGACGAACACGGTGTCCTGCGACCGCACCTCGGAGCCCATGGCGAACTCGAGCGTCTTTTGCTGTTGTTTTGGGTTGAATGAGCACATGCCAACTGGTCTTGAGCTGATGTCGTGTCGTGTAGGTCGTGTGTGCGTCATGTGTGTCGTGTCAATTGCTGTGGCGGGCAGTACCAGAAGCTTGGGGTCGCTAGAGGCACCGAGGGCGCGCATGCAGCGCTCCTTCTCCTCGTGAAGGTCGGTCTCCCGGAAGATTCGGAGCACGGACTCGTACACGCTGTCGTCGCCCTCAGGGGCGTTGGCCAGACAAATCCTGAACACGCGCGACGAAAGGCACTGGTCAGCTGGGCAGGCGGTGTGGGGACAAAGGAAGTCGGCGTACCTGTAGACAGCACCCCTCATGTCCGCGTGGAGCGAGGAGCGATCGTCGAGGAACTTGGCGAACCTCTTCTGGGCCTCGGCAATCGTGGCAGCATGACCTACTCAGTGCATTTTAAGGCGTGAGCAAAGCAACGAAAAGAGTGGCTTTAATGGCGTTGAAGCGCGTCGGTACCGTATTTGCCAGCGGCGCCCAGCACGAGGGTCCTCAACAGGGAGATGAGGTGGCCCTCGCCTTCCTTGGCGTCCCAACCAACCTTGTTGACGATCTGTAAAGGCACGATCACTATGGTGAGGCCAACGATTGCAGCAAGGGCTCGATTTGTATGCGTACGTTCTCATAGAGCGAGGCGGCATAGCGGGTGAAGCTGGGGTAATAGTCCGTGGCGGACACGACAGTGGCGAGATCACCGATGTTAGCGGACAGATCGCTGTAGACAGTGTAGTTCTCCTCGTTCTTGAAGGCGCTCAGCAGGCTCAGCACGTGGGTGGTCGGCAGCATGCCTACACAAAACAGGTTAGTGTTGACGATTGGGTGCTGTGGCATCTAATGGACAGGTACCGGCTCTGGCAAGGGCAAAGGCGTCGCCCTGAATGCCAAGCCTGTCGGCGGGAGGCAGCTCCAGGGACTCGATGGGCGCGCGGAGCCTGTTGAGGAGCTCGTCGGTGTACCTCACTCGGTAGAAGCCGGTGACGCCAGGGTTGAACTTGATCCACTCGTTCTTGTCAGCCTTAACGGTGACGGTGGAGGTCTTGTCCTTGATGATCTGCTGCACGGTGCCGTGCGGGGTGGCGACGCCGATGGGCACCCACCAGATGGTGGTGATGCTCGAGTCCTCGCCGGTCGAAAGGAAACGGCTCTGCGTCACCTCAAGGGTGGTCTCGGCGTCCTTCGACTCCTTCTCGCTCACGAACAGCACAGGGTAGCCGTCCTGCGCACGACAGCCAGTCCCACACAAGCGTGTTAGCTACTGGCCACACGCACAGCGCGAGGGGTTTCTTCTAGGCAAGGGTACCTGCTTCGTCCAGTGATCCATCAGCTCCTTCACGGGCTTGCCAGAGGTCTCGCTAAGAGCGGCCCACAGATCCTAGACGTCTTGTTATCAGCGACCTTACCAGTGGAAACCGAGAGGATGGCACAGCTGGGTGGGTACCTCAGTGAGAGCGTTGGCATACTTGTGCCTGTTGAGGTAGATGTTGAGGCCCTTCTTGAAGACGTCGTTGCCGAGGAACGAGGCCAACATCCTGACGATGGAGCAACCCTTGCTGTACGAGATGATGTCGAAAATCTCATCAATCTCGGCAGCGTCGGCAACCTCAACCTCGACCTGTTGTTGGTTGTGAGATGTCGGCACACTGTGACACACTTCATGCCATTCAGTAGAGAGACGCGCGTACGGGGTGAGTGCTCTTGAGGCAATCGAGACCGAAGGCACGACCAAGATCGGAGAAGACGAACTGCGTCCAGATCTGCGCCGGGGAGCCCCAATTACGTTCCCAGTGTGAGCGTTCTCGAACTGCGTCGTTTTGGGCGGAGAGGAACGTACGTCCCACTCGGGGAAGCAGTGATCAACGGCCAGGTACTCGATCCACGAAGCGAAGCCCTCATTGAGCCACAGGTGAGTCCACCATTCCTGCAAGAGTGTTAGAAAGAGCCAAGTTGAGAGTGATGGTTTGGTACGTGGTGGCTGAGTGGCTACGCACCATGGTAACCAGGTTGCCGAACCACTGGTGAGCCAGCTCGTGGCCGACGACCAGGGCCACCCACTGCTTCGACGCAGCAGAAGAGTTGACGGGGTCGACCAACACTGCGGTTTCCCTGTAGGTCACCAGACCCCAGTTCTAAAGTCCGAGAGCATGCTCCGGTCAGTGCCCGCGACCTTTGCGAGCAGGACGGCAATCAGTGGTCACCGTACCTCCATGGCGCCGGCAGCAAAGTCGGGGATGGCGATCAAGTCGGACTTGGGCAGCGGGTAGGGGATGCCGAAGTAATCTGGCAGGAGGAAACAAACATCAGCGTCATGGATGCGCAAGTGTGATGTCTGGGTCTGCAAACACCATACCGTCGTAGAACGGGAGGGTCTTGACGGCGACCTGGAGCGCGAAGAGGCCCTGCTCGCTCTTACCGAGCGGCGTGTACACGCGCACCACGACGCCGTTGCTGGTCTTGTCCTCCACGTAGTCGAACTCGCCCACAACGAAGGCCAGGAGGTAGGTGGACATGATGGGCGTCTCGTCGAAGGTCACAGTCTTGAGGTCAGCGTCCTTGTTCGTCTCCGACACCTACCAGGGGAGCGTTTAGGTCAACGGTCGTTGTGCGCGCAAAGGCTCTTTATGTAGAGTGCTACGCACCACCGGCATGTTGGACAGGGCGGTGAGGGCCTTAGGGACAACGAGGGTCACCACGAAGGTGGCCTTGATGGCAGGCTCGTCCCAGCAGGGAAGAGCCCTTCTGGCATCAGTCGGCTCGAACTGGGTCACGCCCATGTAGACCTCTTCCTTCTGCGCATTGGTGTACTTGCTGCGGTAGAACCTGCATGCATGCGCGCGCCATCCAAGTGAGGTCAGGGGTTGCTGCAACGAACGCGTAGACGGAAGTGGTACCCCTTGAGCTTGTCGTTGAGGATGCCGGTAAAGGCGACCTTGAGCGTGGCGGCACCGACGGGCAGGGTCTGGTCGAACGTGAAAGTAGCGGTCTCGCGCTTCTCGTCGTAGTCGATCTTGGTCGCGGTGAGGGCCTTGTCGCCCGCCTTGAACTCGACGCTGCTGATCTTGAGTTCGATCGAGTTGAGCACGATCTCAGTGGTTTCCTTGAGCACCTCGATAGTCACCTCTTCCTCACCACTATGCGACGAATGCACCATTAATTTAATGTTATTGTTTCGACATTCAGCACTCGGGCCAGTGCTACAAAGAGATCGAGTTGCACACGGCCGGGGATCGTACCTGAAGGTGAAGTTCTTGAGGTCGGGCTGCAGGGTGATGTTGTACTTGGACGGCTTGACGGTGGTCGGCAGAACAACTCTCTCCTTGTGCGTGGCCTGCTCCATATTGTGCTGCTTAGAGTGAATGTGCTAGTGGGGGATGGGACGTAGATGGGGTGCAGGTGATCAGTGCGCAAATCGAAACCCTCGCCAGCAAACATACACGAAGTCGTCAAAAAATGCACCAGCAACTTTCGGCCACTTTTCGTCTTGGCTGAAGAATGCTGGAATGCATTTTTATTGTTCGCAAAAAAAAAAACAGCGGATTTCATCGACGGAAGATGCAGAAGGAGGACTCTGCGGCGCCTGCCACCCAGCAGCCTACGACCTATGATCACTTCCTGCAGACTCACAGGTCACAGCTCGAAGGCGTCGGCCTTCCTGAATCTCTCTGGAAGGTAAAATCGTGTGCAATCTCTTGGTAGATGGAGATTAATCTTCACAGCTCATCTAATCTTGATCCCCCGTTGTATTGCGCTGTTCGATGAGATTAACGATTCTCCGTCTCTTTGCCTCTCAGCGATTGTTCATCAAGCTCAAGGCGCAAATCTTCGATGCTGCCGACACCTTCGAGTTCGAGTACGACCCCAACACCACGACGACGGGCGTGGAGTACCGCGTCGTAACCAAGAAGGCCCTCCAGCCTCTCTCCGACGTCTTCGTCATCGACCATGCCTGGTACCCTTTCGTTTTTTGCTGCTGCCGGCAGGGCGCAGATGAGGAACGACGTCGTTGGGGCCTAACCGCTCTCGTTCTAAAGGACGACCACTGCCGACAAGGCACGTGAACAGCTGCGCACCATTCCCCATCTCCTCCAAAGGATGGTTCGGCTCACCGGTGTGGACGACGAAGCCGACGTCACCGGTATCGCCCACACCGAGTAATCGCAGTGGTTTCTTGCACGTTGCTCATCACCTTCTCCTTTATGTAGACGAGGAAAAGAAGAAGGTGCTGGTGGATAAGGTCTGGCGAGCGATGTGGCGCTTCAACCATACCTACACGGTCAACACTGCCACAGGCGATCAGATGACCATGTGGTGTACGTACCTGCCACCTCCCCGCAACTGTTTTGGCCCTGGCTCTTGATTCACTGATCTCTCTCTGTTGTCGTTGATCACGTCGTGCCATGAACATCAGACGTGATGGACGAAGCTGGCTCCTGGATCACCCACAGCGACGAGCCCAATTTCATGGTCAAGCCCATCTTTTGGCTCTACGCAGGTAGGCATTGCCTTCGGTACCCTCGTCCGAGCACTTTCTTCGATATCATGCTGACATCGACTGGTTGTCGTGGGCGCCGCTAGGCATCGCGTATACCCTGATGTGGCCCATCAAGCCACTCGCCGAGGAGGAGGCGGTGACTAGAGATTTCCTCCTGGGCGTGACGCAGCAGAGGCGCGAGCGATTCATCGCTTTCTTCGACGATGACCGGCGGGAAGTGCTGGCACAGCTGATCGAAGAGGAGCACGCCGAGGCCACGAAGAACCAACAGCCGCAGCAGCACCAGCAGGGGGTCCAAGCGTCAGAGGCGAAGAAAGAGGGAGACGACGCCCCCGCGAGCCAAGCGACAAAGGCCAAAGGCAAGGCCAAGCTCCCGCTGAAGCTGTTCACCCCCTACAAGCTGGTTCGTGCCCACCTGACCCGAAAGGAGTTCATCATCGAGGACAACATCAACCTGGCCAACATCTGGTGGCTCTACGATCGCATCAAGTACTCCACGCCTCTCCTTGCACAACGCCAACTTTGTTCGCGCGCAGCACCACTTACTTCTGCCCATCCTTCTATTTTATCAGGGACTTTGCTGAGCTGAAGAACACCGACCCCGCGCAGCAGCCCGTCTATGTCAACCAGTTCCCCAACGACGCGTACCGACGTCCCCCCAAGCATTGTTCACCTCGTGAGCCGTGGTGTGTACATGATCAACCACCAACCGCTAAGCGCGCGTACGATCAATCTCGGCTACTAGGTGCATCACGGTGAAGGATCTGCTGGCCGAGACCGTCAGGGGAGTGCTGGGCGAAGTGCCATGGCTGCCGCTGACCTACAACCTGGAGACCCAGCTGGCAGCATTCATCGCCGATTTCCACGGCCGCCAGGAGAAGAACGAGGACAACGTGTGGATCGTCAAGCCCTGGTACGGCTCCTGCCGTCAGCTGACTTCTCGCTGGCCATTCCCCTTTGGCCAAACGACCGGCCAACCACTCGTAATGTGTCGTCACAGGAACCTGACGAGGGCTATGGGCCACCTGGTCACGGATGACATCGGGGCCATCGTGAGGCACATCGAAGTCGGCCCACGAGTCGCGCAGAAGTGTACGAGCTAATCGCTCCTCTGTACCGCATGGCGCCTGCTGACGTATGTGTGCCCTGCGTGCGTGCAGACATCTCACGACCTTTCCTGGTCGACCAAAAGAAGTTTGATATGCGCTTCCTCGTGCTCGTGAAGTCAATTGAGCCGCTCGAAATCTATCTCTACAACGTACACCTTCCTCTTTCTGTCGAGTAAAGGGTCAGTGCGCACGCATGCGGCCCAACACGCAGTTACTGACGTACGTTGTATCTCTACTCAGGTGTTCTACCTTCGCTGTGCCAATGTGCCCTATTCCCTGGAGGACTTCGAAAACTACCAGAAGCACTTCACCGTACGCCCGCCTGCTTCAAACGAATGGGGCCTGTCGACTGACCGCTTTCCGTGCTTGCACTTGTTCGTGCACGCCTGCCTTGCTACGGCAACGACAGATCATGAACTACATCGAAGGGGCCGAGCTGAAGCAGATCCCCGACACCGAGTTCATTCCCGAGTACAACAGGCAGATGCCCCACGCCACCTGGCAGGAGGCCGTGCAGCCCAAGATCCACCAGCTCGTCCTTCAGGTCTTCCAAGCCGCCAAGGCCACCAAGAATGGCATCCGCCACCTCCCCAACTGCCGCGCCATCTACGGTACGGCTCCAGTGGTTGTCGATCTTGTGAGTGCGTGCGTCAACTCAAGGGCTCTGGTTCAAATCTCTTCTTCTCGCTGCCTACCACGCAGGCCTCGACCTAATGGTGGACGCCGATGGTCAGCCGCTGCTGCTCGAGGTCAATTACAACCCCGACACGACGAAGATCTGCAAGTGGTCGCCCTCCTTCTGGAACGACGCGCTGGCCGTGCTCTTCCTCGACGAGGACAAGTGGCGGGACGCCGGCGCCAAGGTCACCAGGCTCAGCTAAACCTCGAACGCCTGTCCCCCTTTCCACACTCGCAACAACACCAACAACCAGCTTGACCCTACCGGTTTATGATCAGAAGTGGCACGGTGGTGCCGATGGATGAGGAATTGTGATGATCCCTGGCCCCTGTGCGGAAGGTGCCGTGAATGGACCTCCGGCTCTTTAGCTTCTCTTCTTTCAGAAGTGGTGGAAAGCAAACAGAAACCAACGCGACCAAGGGGCACGCTATGCAGACGTGGCCGCGTAACATAGGGCCGGGCTTGAGCACGGTCGGTTCCCCAGTTCTTTCGCTTCGGTTTCACCACACTTGATTCCTAAACAAAGGGCGAGGCGCCGGCAGCGGGCAGCGCAGAGCGTTCATTCACCCCAAATTTCGCTCCGCCACACGCTCGCCTAATACTAGGCCCGACCGAAGCGGAAGAAGAAACGAACCGAGAGAGAGGGGAGAACGCCAAAAGAGAGCGACAACGCGAAAGGGGACGTGAGGTGAGGTTGTGAGTGTGAGTCCAGAAGCAAGCGATACACAAGTAAGCGAAAGAGAGAGCGAGGGAGTTGTGGAACGACGACGGCGAGGGAAGCGAAAAGACGATCGGCTGATTTTTTTTTAAACTATTCAAGACGACGCCGATCCTTCCTTCTCTCTTTATTTAAAATTCTTCATCTTTATTCTTTTGGCCTCCTCTTCATCACAATCATCCAGCTTCGATCCTCGAGGTTCGATTTTCGATTTTAGTTTGATTTAATTAAATTCAGAGAAAATTGAATCCACAGCCAGCAACGACTCGGGGCGCGACCGGGTAACACACGACGGCGAGAGTGAACTAGAAGCGAAGCCGACACACTACTGTTCTGCGCACGCCGAGCGATTGATCGACGACGCGAGCCACCAACATCATGTCGATGAACGGAAATGGACCTCGCAAGCGACCACCTCCCGCGCAGCAGCGGGACACCATCAAGCCGTGGCTGGACGGCAAGCAGCCGACGCTCAAGATCGCCGACGTCTACTACGTCATCTCCACAAAATGGCTGAAGCAATGGAAGGCCTACGTGTCCTTCGATGAAGAGACCACCACACCTGCAGCAGCGGACGAAGGAGGAGGAGATGGCGCGGCGGAAGGGACCGGCGAACAGCCGCGGAAGCCGCCCAACTCCATCGACAACAGCGTCCTGCTCAAGGACCCGGGCTTCAAGTCCAAGGGCAACGAGCCCGTCATAAAGACCAAGGCCATCGAGGGCGTCGATTTCATTCTCATCCCACAGAAGCCCTGGGCCTACCTCTACAAATGGTACACCACCTGCTTTTGTTTTTGTTTCCATTTTATTATGTTTTTATATTACTTTTATATTACTTATGCGCCGTGGTTTTATGGTATTTATTTATTTATTGTTATTTTTTTATCTGTATTATTTTGTGTTGAATCATTGTTGGAGCCGATCGGTAGTGGGCTTGGCCTGGAGAATTGTTGTTTTGTGCTGTTTTGGGTTTGTTGCGGGGCACCGCCACATTCTTCAGAACCCTGTACAACTCGATGGTGATAGTGGTGGCGGTGACTGTTTGACTTTAAATATCCCCTCCTCCCTCCCTGGCTCTTTTGAGCGACACGGATTGCTTGTGTCACCTCCGTTCATGTGCTGATCACGTTTTTTTTTCTTCGTTCCCGGCTCTTTGTTGATTCACCATCACCCCTACCATCATCACCACCACCACCACCCCTCTGACCTCTTCTTCGTTCTTCTTCGTTCTTCGACGCTTGGCGGCACAGGTACGGTGGTGGGCCAGAGCTGGCTCGCGAGGTGATCGGGGACGGGAAGGAGGGCAGGGCGCTGAAGGTCGAAGTGTTCCCTCTCGCCCTGACCTTCAAGAACACCAACACCGAGGGCCAGATCAACCCCTTCTCCGCCATCGGTTCGCCTTCGTTCTTTCTTTCTTTCTCTCTTTCTTCTCTTTCCTCTCCCTGAGCAATGTTCGCTCACCGCACCGCGTGCTCGGATGCAGAGGTGGTGGTGAGCAAGAAGGCGACTGTGGGGTACCTCAAGTCGCTCGTGTGCCGCAAGATGGAACTCGACTCCGCCCACACGCGAGTCTGGAACTATGTCAAGAATACAGGTACACCGCACTCAATGTTCTTATATCAACATATTTATATATTTAAAAAACATTGAGATTGATTGACATATCTTGAATTGCAGGCAAATTGATCAAGGAAGAGAATGTGACGCTGGAGGAGGCCAAACTGGTGGACGGCCAGAGCCTGCTCATCGAAGTGCGGCTGGACGACGGCTCGTGGCCGCGCGACGGCATCAAGAAGCGAAAGAGCAGCGGCAGCGTCAAGGACAAACTTGCCGACGGTAACCCACCTCGTGTCTTGATCTTGCGTGCGTGTGCACGCCATGAAGCAAGACTCACTCACTCACTCTATGGCCCCTTAGGAAGGCGCGGTAGCACCCAAATGCTGTCCTCCACCCTGAACAACATGAAAGCGCTACTGGGTAGGTCATCATCATCCGTCGTCTTCGTTCTTCGTCTTCGTTCTTTCGTGACGCATCTTCCTCGTGCGTTGGTTCAATGCAGGCATCGCGGACGAGCACCAACCGAGGAAATACCAGTCGGGCAGCCATCGGCCAGTGGGCAGCGGCGGCGGCAGCGGCGGGAGCAGCGGCGGCTACGGCGGGTCGAGCGGCGACGTCAAGGCCCGGCCCGGCACCTCCAAGGGCGTGTGCGGCCTCGTCAACCTCGGTACCCGCCCACTCCCACACAGCACGCTCCCCACATCGTCGCCAGCCAGCTTGAGCTCACCGCGTGCACCTCGCATCGTGTTGCGTGTTGCCTGTCGTGTCTCGCCTGTGCGTGATCACCAGGGAACACGTGTTTTCTGAACTCGGCGATCCAGTGCCTGAGCAACACGGTTGCGCTGACCGAATTTTTCCTGTCCGACGCCTACAAGGCCGACATCAACAAGTCCAACCCGCTCGGCATGAAGGGCCAGCTCGCCGAATGCTACGGTACCGTACCCGCGTCCGCCGCTCACTGCTGACGTCAGCAGCCCACACTGTCTATACACTTACGCGCGTGTGTGCATGTGTGTGTATGTGTGTGTATCGACAATGAAGGTGCGCTGTTGAAGCGGGTGTGGTCGGGCGACTTCTCGGCCGTGGCACCGCGCAACCTCAAACGCTGCATCGGCAAGTACGCGCCGCAGTTCAACGGCTTCTCCCAGCACGACGCCCAGGAATTTCTCGCATTCCTTCTCGATGGCCTTCACGAGGACCTCAACCGAGTACGCCGTCCGCCCGTCCGCACGTGCATGTCGTGTTGTGTGCGTGTGTGTTGTGTGTTGTGTGTCACCTCCATCCGGCGAACGGCTGCCTCACATTCCTCGTGGCACGGGTGGTGTCGACCAGGTTTTGAACAAGCCCTACGTGGAGATCAAGGAGAGCGACGGCCGAGCGGACGAGGAGGTGAGCAGGGAGGCCTGGGAGTGCCACCTCAAGCGAAACCGATCCGTCATCGTCGACCTCTTCCAGGGTCAGCTCAAAAGGTAAGCACACGCACCAATCACACGCACGCACGCACACGCACCCATCGCACACGCACGTAAGAGGTGGCATGGACTGAATCGAGTATGGTGTCGCGCGTGTGTGGCCGCAGCACGGTGATGTGTCCGGAGCCGAAGTGTGGAAAGGTGAGCATCACGTTCGACCCTTCATGTACATTTCCCTCCCCATGCCTCCCGAGAGCGATCGCCTCATCGACATCATCCTCATCCCCAACGAACCACACCGGGTACCGCGTCTCTTTCTGTGTCATGTGTCGTGTCGTGTCGTGTCGTGTCGTGTGTGCGCACGCGCAAAATATTTTGCTGATTGGTAGTCGTCGACGTACAACAGAAGCCAGTCATGTACAGCATCAAGTGCGCGAAGTCGGCGCGCGTCCAAATTTTGAAGGAGAAGCTCGAGGAGTATTCGGGCCTCAGCCGGCGCAAGATCTCCATGGTCGACATCGAGGACCACTACATCCACGGCTTCATCCCCGACGCGCGCTCCGTCGCCACCTTCCGCACCAACGCCACTGCCTTTGCGTGCGCACCACCACCGCCAACGCTCCATTGCATGACTAACATTCCAGGCACATAGCTCACATACCTCGACGTCGCGTTTGCGACTACAGATTCGAGACCGTGGGTCCCGTGGATCCCAAGCAAGCGCTGCGAGTGCAGATCCTCCACCGACGGGTCAACCCGGCGTTCCTCAACTCGCCCAAGGCCTCTGATCGTACGCGCGCCTCCCGCTTCCACACACACACACACACACACACACACGGCCACGCGACACGCACACCGAACGCAACTGACACTGTGTTGTGTGTCGTGTGCGTTTGATTGCGGTGCGCAGCGGCAGTGAATCAGCGGAAGATCCCGCGGCAGGCGTTCGGCATGCCGTTCGTGATGTATCTGTCGACCAAGCGCACCACCGCGCGACAGCTCTACACCATGGTCTGGCATCGCCTCTCCCGGTTCATGAAGCGCGACATATCACGACCGCGCGGCAGTACGTGTTAAACACACACACACACACACACACACCACACACACACGCGCTTACGCTCGGTTCAGCAGAGGAGAGCTTTGCCGAGTCCAACGGCGTTGGCGGTCACACTGGCGAGGACGGCCCGCACGCTGCGCTCAAGGACACCGCGGCGAAGTCGGACGACGACAAACCGTCGACGCCGGAGAACGGCGTCAACGGCCAATCGGGCGAGAAGAAGAATGGAGGCGACGACGCCTCGACGAAGACGAAAAAGAACGAAGACGACAGCGAAGCCGACACGGCGTCGTCGTCGGCGGAGCGGCACAAGGCCAAGGAGGTCCAGCTCACCGACACGGAGAGCGGTAGCATGAGCGGCGAGAGCTTCACCAGCAAAGAGAAGGAGGAGTCCAAGGAGAGCCGCGAGCGCGACAGCGTCGATAGCAAGTCGAGCAGCGTCACGGCCGCCACGGCCGCCACCTCCAACGGCGCCAGGCCGACCACCACCACCGCCAGCAGCAGCAGCAGCAGCCGGACGTCGGCGTCGAGTTCGGCGGCGGCCGCGCAGTCCTACGAGCCGTTCGACTGGCCGCCGCAGCTGGACTTCACGCTCGACTGGGCCCAGCTGCCCTTCCGCCTCTCCTACGTCTCCCAGAACGGCAGCTCCTGCGGCAAATGCTCCAGGTACCTGCCCCCCCCCATTGCCAGCCTAGCACTACGTGCCGAGGTCTCATCTTCTTTTTCCTCGCGTGTATGTGTGTGCGTGTCGTGTGTGCCGTGTGTCGTGTGTGCGTGTGCGTGTCGTGTCGTGTGTGTGATATGACAGTAGCTGCACGGGATGTCCGATCAAGCCGGACGACGAGCCGCTCAAGTTCAAGCAGGTCAACCTGCCCACCATCGCTGTCGATTGGGACCCCAAGCTCCTGCGCGAGTTCCTGTCCATCGAAAAGGCCGAGGCAAGTCTCCTCCCTCCCTCCCGCCTTCATTTCTTTTCTCCCAAGTCGAGCGCGTCGCTCATGTCTGCCGTGTGTGTCGTGTCGTGTCGTGTCATGCGTTGTGTGTCGTGTTATGCGCTGTGTGTGTGCGGATGTACAGGAGATTGAGGACCATGAGAGCGTGGTCACCAACAAGAAACAGGCCAAGAGGCGTCTGTGCCTGGACGACTGCTTCCGCCTGTTTTGCATGAACGAACAGCTGGGCGAAAACGACCAATGGTAACCCCAAGCCCTCCCCATCAACCAATCATCCCTCAGCCCATCGCTGACATGCAACAACGACAATCGCACACGCACACGCACCACCGCACACGACGCACGACATACGACTGTTGCATGATAGGTATTGCCCCAAGTGCAAGGACTTCCGGCAGGCGCGAAAGAAGTTTGAGCTCTGGCAGATGCCGCAGACGTTGGTGATCCACCTGAAGCGGTTCCAGTACACCCGGTTCTCGCGCGACAAAATCATCACCTTCTGCGACTTCCCCCTCACCGGTACACACCGCACACCCACGCGCACGCACACACAACCGCACACACCGCACACACTGCACACGACGCTAATATTCGATGGTGATGTGGGCCAGGGCTGGATCTGTCGGAGTACGTACAGAACTGCACGCAGAGCCCCATCTACGACCTCTACGCCGTCGCGGTACGCTGGCGCTGTCAGCGCTTCTTTTAAGATGGCTGGCTGCTGACGTTCTTTTTCTTTTTCTTTTCTTTTCTTTCTCTTTTGTTGGGTTGGGTTGGACCACCACCAGAACCATCAGGGCGGGCTGGGCGGCGGCCACTACACGGCCTTCGGGCTGAACGCGCGGGACAACCGGTGGTACCACTTCAACGACGGGTCGACGACGGCCGTGTCCGACGACGCCGTACGCACGTCGGCGGCCTACGTCCTGTTCTACAAGCTGCGCGAGGGCAACGACCACCACCAGGCGGCGCCGGCGGCCAAGAAGGGCAAAAAGGAGAGCGGCAAGGGCAAGGAGAAGGGTAAGGCGGCTGCTGACGTCAGCACGCCGAGCGAGGCCGAGGCGGCGGCTACCAAGGGCAAGGGCAAGGAGATTGACGGCAAGGACGACGACGACGGCAAAGCGCAAGTCAAAAAGAACGAAGACGACGATAACACGAACGCGACAACGACCAGCGATGCCACGAGCAGTGACAGCGCGGCGTTCGTGGGCGGCAAGGAGAAGAACGCGAGCCGGACGGTGAGCGTCGAGAGCATCGCCGTGGTCGATGAACTACAACAGCAGCAGCACGACGACAACCGCCACGGCAGCACCAGCAGCCAGGGCACCAGGACCAAGAAGAAGAAGACGAACGGCACCAGCAGCAAGAGGAAGAACAGCGTCGCGTCTGTGGATACCAACGGCACCGGCGGCGGCGAGCTCAGCAGCAGCCGCAGCCGCAGCAGCACGGGCGGCGGCCGAGGTAGGAGCAGCACGAGCAGCAACAACGGCGTCGGCGGCGGCCTGGGCTCGTCACCGTCGAAGACCATCAACGGCGGCGTGTCGTCTTCGTCATCGACGTCGCTCGATAGCAGCAGCAGCACGAGCAGCAAGAAAACGAAGAAGCTCAAGAAGGAGAAGAAGGAAAAGAAAGAGAAGAAGGAAAAGAAGGAGAAGAAGAAGGAGACGTCGTCGCGAAAAGAGAAGATGGCCGTCTAACCCACTCCACTTGCGTAATAAACAAAATAATAGTTTTCAACTCTCGCAACAACCACGAACGCCAGGCGACAAGTTCTTTTTCTTTTGCCTCCTACTAGTCTTCCCACAGCACCATCACGCTCAAGCCTGGGCCTTGGTCGGGGTGGCCTTCTTCTTGGGGCTCTTCTTGCCGGCGGAGGGCGTGGTGGCAGCTGGACTCTTGGCGGGCGTCGAGGCAGCGGCGGCGGCGGCGGGGCTCTTGGCGGGCGTGGCGGCCTTCTTGTTGCCCTTCTTCGATGGGGTCGTGGCCGCGGAAGCAGGCGTGGCGGGCGTCGAGGCAGCGGCAGCGGCGGCGGCGGGGCTCTTGGCGGGCGTGGCGGCCTTCTTGTTGCCCTTCTTGCCGGCAGTCGGCGTGGTGGGCGTGGCCGGGGCGGCAGGCGTGGCGGCCTCCTTGGTGGGCGTGGACTTCTGCTTCTTGGTGGGCGTCACCTTGGTCGTGGCCTCGGGCGTGGCGGGCGTGGTGGTCTCCTCGGTCGCCTTTCGCTTCTTGGGCGTCACCTTGGTCGCCTCGGGCGTCGCGGCAGGAGCGGCAGCGGCAGCAGGGCTGGCGGCGGCCTTCTTGTTGCCCTTCTTGCCAGAGGGAGTGGTGGGCGTGGCCGGGGCGGCCGAGGCAGGGGCCGGGCTCTTGGCGGGCGTAGTGGCCGGGCTGGCGGCGGCCTTCGTGTTGCCCTTCTTGCCGGTGGGCGTGGTGGCCGTGGCAGTAGCAGTGGGCGTAGCCGGGGTCGCGGCAGGGCTGGCGGCGGCCTTCTTGTTGCCCTTCTTGCCGGAGGGCGTGGTGGGCGTGGCCGGGGTCGCGGCAGCAGGCGTGGCAGGGGCGGCCGGGCTGGCGGCGGCCTTCTTGTTGCCCTTCTTGCCGGTGGGCGTGGTGGCCGTGGCAGTAGCAGTGGGCGTGGCCGGGGTCGCGGCAGGGCTGGCGGCGGCCTTCTTACCCTTCTTGCCGGTCGGCGTGGTCGTTGTGGCAGCGGCCGGGGCTGGGCTCTTGGCGGGCGTAGTGGCCGGGCTGGCAGCGGCCTTCTTGTTGCCCTTCTTGCCGGTGGGCGTGGTGGGCGTGGTGGCCGTGGCCGGGGTCGCGGCAGCAGGGCTGGCGGCGCCCTTCTTGCCCTTCTTGCCGGTGGGCGTGGTGGGCGTGGCCGGAGCGGCCGCAGCGGGGGCAGCCTCAGCGGCCTTGTTGGGGGTGGCGGGTCCCTTCTTCCGCGGGCTCTTCTTGCCAGCGGCGGGCGCGGGGCTCTTGGCAGCGGTATCGGCGGCGTGCTTCAGCGCCAGGCTGTCCTTGGGCAGCTCCGCGGCGGCGGCAGCGGCATCTTCGGCGGCGTGGGCAGCGCTCTGCTTGCCCTTCGTGGTGCGGCTCTTCTTCGCCGCGGGGCTCTGAGCCGGCTTCGCGGCGCCGTTCTCTGCCTTCGTGGCCTCACCGTTGGCGGCCGGCGTCGTCACGGCCTCGACCTGCTTTCGCTTCTTGGTCGGCGTCGTCGTTGCCGTTGCCGTCGCCGCCTTCTTCTTCTGCCCAGCCGCGGCCTTGGTGTTCTTCTTGGCCTTGGCGGCCTTGGGCTTCTGCGTGGCGGTGGTGGTCGTGGTGGTCGTCGTCTGCTGGTCGGGGTGCAGCTTGCGCAGCCGCTTGGCGTCGGCCTTCTGCTTGCGCTCCTCCTCGAGGTCCTCCTCGAACTTGAACTCCCCCTCGTCCTCCTCGGCCTCGCTGTCGACCAGATCGGCCTCGGCGATGAGCTGCTCGAGCTCCATCTCCTTCTGCTTCTCGGCCTCGCGCCGGTCAGACACCTTCTTGGCCTTCTTGGCCGCCACGGCCTCGGCGTCGCGCAGCTCCGGCAGCGAGTTGTAGATGGGCAGCGCCACGCTCTCGGTGGTCTTCATGCTGACCGCCTGGACGTTGGCCCACTTCTTCTTGGTCATGGTGGCCACGGCCTCCAGCACCTTCATCGTGTTGGCCACGATCTGCTCGGGGGTGAAGCTCGTCAGGCCCACCTTCACGTTGCTGTCGCGTCGCCAAAGGAGAGGAGTCAGCTCGAGCACATCACGGGCGCGACGGATGGTGGTCCGTGTGTGTGTGTGTGTGTGTGTGTGTGGTCGTGAAGACGCTACCAAGTGGAGCCGGTGAAGAAGATGTAAGTGGAGTCGCGAGCGCGCGCGACCTCGCTGCCGATGTTCTTCTTGAGGTTGACGGCGATCGGGATCCTGCACAACAACAACAACAACAAGCAAGCAAGCAAGCAAGCAAGAGATGGTCAGAAGACGGTCATTGCGCAGAGTCGGAGAAAGAAGGAGGACGGAAGAGCAACGCACTTCTTTCGGGAGAAGAACTCCTTGCCGAGGTACTTGGACAACATGGGGATGATGGAGTCGTCGGCCAAGAACATGCTGTAGCTCTGGGCCAGTTTTCGCTTGGCCTCGAAGGTCTTGTAGTTCTTACGCAGGTGCCTGAACCCGATGATCTGGTGGAGCACCAAGGACGCGTCAGACATTAGAATTGATTAAAATGTAAAAGAAAAAAACGTGTAGAATGAAAGATGATGAACCTTCTCGACGTTGGGTGCGGCGGCCTTGAGGAACTTCTCCTTGAATTCTCGCTGGGGATCCTTGGTGAACACGCAGATCTCGGCGTTGGCGTTCAGAGTGTGAGGAAGGCGACTGCAGGCGGCGGGTTAGCACACAATCTCAGCAACAGATCATTATATGTATGCATCTGTTTGCCCGCAATTCGACCAACGGTGATGAAACGGAAGGGTATACATAGGAGAGGCGCGATGATTGTTGTTTCATAATAGCACAAACGACGATAAATGCGAATAATTTGAGAAAATCAGGGCGATTAAGAAAAATGAAAGCAAATTTCGCGTACATGGCGAGCGGCTTGAGGAGAGGGCCGGTTCTGTGCTTGCCAACGACCTTTGGCTTGGGAAGCTTCTTCCAGGTAATGATGAGGGACAGGGTCTCATCCTCCTCGATCAGATCCTTGGCCTTGGCCTCCTTCGCCTTGATGGCCTGGTCGTTCTCGTAGTGCGTAAGCAGGGCCTGCACGGCGCGTTGAACCTGATCCTTTGCCACCGTCGCCATCTTCTTACTTCTCTTCCAATGAACGAATCGACAAATTGAAAATGCCGAATCTCTCTCCGATCCCAATCTCTCCGGAGAGGCGAGAAAGTAACGGTGGGAAAGGACAAGGAAATCACCTGTCCGGAAATTTCCCGGCACGAATACACCCGAAGAGAAACTGGGAACTATGTGTAAGGAACTGGATGGGCAGGGGAGAGGAGCTTGTCAAGTGCATGCTCCTCCTGTGGCTTGACGGTCTATGTCAAAACCACAACTTGAGCAAAAGGACAGATGGAGGCTTGATTCTCTTGATTCCCTTCCTGTCCTGGCAGGAAGATGGGGACACCTTGGGCAAACTCCAAACCTCAGAATACAAGACAAGGCAGCTACGGTGCACACCTTGTGAATGAGTGTGCCCAACTTGAATCGCTCCGCCAACCAAGAAACCGGAAGTTTGTTCTGTCTTTCGGGGGCCGACAATAAGAAAGAAGCAACACCTTCGCCTTTACCCGATTCGGCGGAGGCAACACAAACAACTCTTGAGGCAACTGGTCGTGTGCACTACTTCTTGCGAGCGGCTGAGGAGATGGATAAGCGAGACGGACAGCCACCCGAGCCTGGAGGGGAGGACCGCACGCAGCAGCAGCAAGAGGACGGGCAGACGACACAGCCACCGCCGGTGAGCGCCGCGGGTGGCGCAGCTGCTTCGCCTGCGGCGTCGAGGCGCTGGTCGTCGTCTTCTTCATCTTCGGTTGTTCCGGTGGGGCGCAGAAAGCGGTCAACGCCCAGGCACCGGCCCTACGAAGCGGAAGATGACGATGAGCTCACAACAACGGAGATTGAGGTCGAAGAAGAGCTGGACGACAGCGACTACAGCGATCGATATGAGGAAGAAGATGATGAGGAGAATGGGAAGCGCAGGTCAAGGAGATTGCTGGGCAGCAGCACGTCGAGTATCGACCTCAACAGCTCGGGCGAGGGCAAGACGTTGCGGAATCGCAAGGTGAGCTTCCAAGGTACCCAGCACTCTTCCCAATTGTTTCATCTCAACAAGAGATTGGGAGATTAAAATTAAATGCAAAAGGCAATACTCATTTTAATTCATCTATTCAATTATTATTAATTCACATTATGTGCTGCAGCTACGCCCCGGGGCCGCTACTCGGGCGAGTCCCGGCGCTCCGGCTCCTCGTTCGACCACAGGCGTTCCTCGTGGGACTCGTGCGACGAAGAGCGCCTGGTACGCTCGCCTGCAGGCTCCTCGCCCTGTCCGTGTTGCCCCTTCGCTCACACGCACACACCATTGGGTGCACAAGGAGGTGGGTAGCGCCTTCCTCTTCAGCAACAGGCCCTGGCGGCAGTCGTTCCACTACAAGCCGTCGGCCACCTTCACGGAGGATCAGCCTCGACCAGCCGACAATGGTGCGTGTGCGGTTGTGGGTGTGTGTGTGTGTGTGCTTGTGTGTGCGTGCGAGTGCATTGGATGGGGCTACTGTGCTGACCAGCACGCGCAATCTAGAATCGATGGTGAGTGTCGGCAACGTGTTGTGGGTCGTGTTCTTCGGCTGGATCCTCTACATTGGCTATGCTCTCGCTGCGCTTGTCATGTGCATCACCATCGCCGGCATCCCCTATGGTACAATCCACACGCGTGTGCACATGCCACACCGCACACACGTGCACGCGCACGCATCACCACATGTACACGCACACGCGCGCCAGCCCGATCCTCACCCTACACAACCGCAGGTCGACTCTGCTGGAAACTGAAGGACTACTACCTCTGGCCCTTTGGCAAGTACATCGTTGTACGGCATCTTTCCATTAATACACACACACACACCCCCCACACACTCACGCACTCGTGTGCGCCACACAACGTGACAGAAACGCCCCGGCGGGCGCCCGATGGTCGGGTGGCTGGAGACCTTCTCTGTCGCCGACCTGTTCGGCCGGTGCTTCGGCGGCAAGACCAAGGCGCCAGGCAAGGACGGCGACGCCCCCGTGCCCATCCTCGAAGCCGAGGAAAACCCCAAGCAGCGACTGTCCATCGAGGTAACGATTTATTTTATTTTGTTTGGTATTTATTATATTTGTTTTATGACAACTATTATTTTTAATACATTAATTATGTTGTTTATTTTGATGTGGCAGGACCAAAAGATTGGCCTGCTGAGCGGCCGAAAGCCGATCAATCAGGACCCGGGCAGCGAGCAACCGAAGAAGAGGCGCTCCGTCCGCTCCTACGCCATGTACATCATCTGGCTTTGCACCGGTACCGACGCCCTCCTCCTCGCTTCGTCGTCTTCTTTCTTCGTCGCGTCTTCTTTCTTCGTCGTCGTTATCGTTCGCTGTTGTGAATTAATGTCGTACGCCACCAGGCGGCTTGATCGTGAACGTACTGCACTGCATCGTGTTCGCGATGTGTTGGATGTCGGTGGTGTTGATCCCGGCGGCCAAGGTCATGAGCACCGGCATCTGGCTCAACGTGCAGCACCCCAAGAACGTCCGCATCTACCGCAGTGCCCCCGCGGGCGAGGTACCTCTCTCCAAACTACCAACGGCCAAAGACCCCTCCACGACCCACGACTCGCATTGCTAACAACCCACCTATATGTGGACAGATCTGCTGTGCACCTACCAGGCGCTCAACGTCAACTACTACCAGTACAGCGTCTTCGGGCTCAACGTCATTCTCGTCAGTATCCTTTTCCCGCCTTCTTGTGTTGTGATGTGTTGTATTGTGTTGTGCGCACGTGTGTGTGTGTGTGTGTGTGCGAGAGAGAGAGAGAGAGAGAGCGCGTGCGTGTGAGCGCGTTGTCTGTGTGGCCATGGATTTTTATGTGATGTACGTCTCCTTGATCGAGAACCTTCACGTAAGACATGCTGCCGTTCGTGGCTATCACGCTCGTGCTGGGCTATGCGCCGCTGCCCTTCCACCCCAACCCGATCGTGCTCTTCGTCACCTCGCTCTTTTCCATCACCCCCGTGGCCTACTACATCGGCATGGCGGTCGCCAGGTTCACAGCCTCCTCTTTTTTATATCCCGCGTGTGTGCGCGTGCGTGTGCGTGCGGTCAGTGTTATTCGACACTGACGCACGACCAACGTTCTCCTCGACACAGCATCGCGGCCCGTACCAACTATGCCATCGGTGCCATGCTTAACGCCATCTTTGGCGTCTCTATCGAGATCATCCTCTACAGCGTGTACGTCGTGTGTGTGTCGTGTGTCGTGTGTGTGCGCGCGCGTGTGCGTACGTGCGTGTGTTGTGTGCGTACGTGCGTGTGTCGTGTGCGTACGTGCGTGTCGTGTGTGTGTGTGTGTCGTGTGTGTCGTGTGTGTAACGAACGCGAGCAAGTCTCATTTACGGGGCGTGGGCGGCACCAGGGCGATCTGGCAGGGCGGTCTGCTGGAACTGGTGCGTGCCGGCTGCATCGGCTCGCTGCTGGGCGACCTGCTGCTCCTGCCCGGCTTGTCCATGGTACGTACGCCCCATCCCTCCGCCCACGCGACGCCCCACGCGCGACTACTCACTCCCTCTCGGCGCCTCCGCGCATCTCAGATATTCGGCGGCATCAAGTACAAGGAACAGCGGTTCAGTCCCACCGTGGCCGGCGTGTCGTCCGTGCTGCTCATCATCTCCATCATCGGTACCTTACACTCCCATTTTATTTTATATTAATATTATTATTTGTTTACATAATTATTGATTATTATTAATTATTCTTTTGCAATCACTCGTCTTGGCTGTGTCACTCGAGAACTCACGGTGTCGTGCGTGCGTGTGTGTCGTGCGGCGCATAGGCATTTTCACGCCGACGATGTTCTGGGAGGTGAATGGTGGCTACGAGTTCGCGTGCAACAACTGCACCGCCGTCTCCACCAACTCGTACGTTTTACGCGCGCCACTCGAGCCTGGCTGGTGGGCGAGGCCTGCTGTTTGTTTTGTTTTTGGGCTCACCGTTGCCCCCGTCGCTCACTGTGGTCCCATTCCTGATTGCGCGCGGCAGGACCAACATGGCGTGCACTGGCTGCCTGGCGGGCAAGATCGAGTACAAGGACAACCAGCGCTTCCAGGACAAGGGCGAGCCGCTCATCTACTGTGTCGCCGCCATCCTTCCCTTTGCGTAGCGCCCCCTTTTTGCTCTCACTTTCATCATTGCTTGTTATTTATTTATGTATTTATTTATACTATTTTTATTTGTTGTGTGTTATATTAGGAAATTATTTAATTACTAACATTAATTTATTGGCATTTTATTGGCTCCTCATTTTGTTGTTGCTTCGCGTGCGTAGGTACCTGGTGGGCCTGCTGTTCACCCTAAAAACCCACTCGCACCTGTTTGAGAACCCCGAAGAGGAGGAGGGCGAGGGCGGCGGACACGAGGTACCCGATGCCTGGTCGCACACGCACACGCACACCATGCACACGCACCTAACACGAAGGACTGATACGCCAGGGACCCGAGTGGCCGGTGTGGAAGGCCGTCGTCGTGCTGCTCATCTCCATCACCCTCTTCTCCCTCATCGCCGAGGAAATGATCAAGGTACGACCTCGTGTCCCCCCCCCCTCCCCCAACGTCTTTCCCTTGCGATAACGCTGACGCGAGCACCGTCTTTGCTTGCTGTGGGGCGGTACAATGAAACCCCCCCATACAAGGCCATCGAACCAACGCTGGACGCGATCGGCATCGAGCAGGCCTTCGCCGGCGCCACGGTCATGGCGCTGGTGCCCTCCTCCGCCGAGGTACGTGGCCCGTCATCGTAGAGAGCCTCTCCTTTGGTCCATTTCACTATTTTTTTACCTCACACGACACGACACGACACGACACGACCACGACACGACCACGAACGCAGTATGTGAACGCGATCACGTTCGCCATGCACAACAACGTGGCGCTTTCGCTTGAAATCGGGTCCTCGTCAGCCGTCCAGATCTGCTTGTTGATGCTTCCCGTTCTCGTGGGCTGGTCGGCCATTGTACGTGACTCCTCCCCTCCCCCCGCTCGATTCCGCGTCTCACCACCACCCCCTGTGAGCAGGTGGACCACGATGTGTCGATCCTCATGTTCCCCATGTTCATGGTGTTTGCGATCATCTTCGCCGTCATCATCGTCAACTACCTGTCAATTGAGGGCAAGGCCAACTACTTCAAGGGATGCGCCCTGGTCATCGTCTACATCCTCTTCATCGTTGGGCTCTTCTTCCAATGACCACGCCACCAAGGGCGCACGTAGACACCAGAGCGGCAAATACAAAGCCTTATTTATTCACCTATTAATTTATTTATCAAAAATCAATTATTATTATTTTGATCAAAAAAGAGACAATGTTGTTGCTCAAATAAGGGCAGTCTTGCTTTGTTTGTCGTGTCTGTTTTCTTCTTATGTTTTTCTGGCCTTGGCAGACTGGCTGGGATCGATGTATGTCCCAGAAGTGCTCTGGTACCCTCCCCCCCCCCCCGAATAACGTGTCCATGGCGGGGTGGCTGATGGAAGTGTAATTGGCAGGGGTGGGAACAGGCCAAGGCGCCCTCCTGGCCGGCGTGGTCATTTTGACATCGTTGCTGCTGTTCGCGTGGGCCTAAGTGACGGCTTGGGAGGGCCTGGCGGAGACGACCGAAGGGTCCTGCTCACGGCCCGAAGGCCCACCCGAAGAGGCTGCCCTGGCAGCGCTGCTCGCAGAGGAGCGAGCGCACCAACGACGAGTTTTGCACAGGCGCCAGGCCTACCACGCCCACCTGCTGACCCAGCATGAGCTGTACCTGTTTCGTCCCACCTGGTACGACCTCCCACCTCACTAGTGACCCACTAACTAGCCCACACCCACGCTCACCCTCTTCTCGGCTGTAGGACGTGTCCTTCCATTGAGCTCCTCGGCGCTGGAGCGACAGGGTGGGCCAGATCCTGATGGAGGTCCACTGGGTCAACGACCGCGGGCTGATCGTGCCCGTGGTGCAGGCCCTTGAGGACCAGGGCTTCCGCATCTTCTCCAACGAGGCCAACGTCCTTGGCGTGACCGAGGCACGCTTCTTTCCTCCCCACCACCATTCATCCTGTAGACTCGCCCTTCCTCTTCTTTTTCTTCTTCTTCTTCTCCTTCTTCACTCACAACACACAACACACAACACGACACAACAACAATCATCAGTGCGGGTGGGTGAGCAACCACCGAGCAGACCTGCTGCTGCGTGAAGCTGAACAGACGCAGAGAAAATAAGAACTGACACCCATGCGCGGGGGGGGGGTAAGGTGTGATCTTTACAACAAACAAGAGGCAGAGGAGGAGGCGGCGGCACGAAACAAACGACCACAGTCACAGCGCTGGTAGCGTGTGGGTGGTGTGTCCATCTGGGTTGGTCATCAACGGCCTCTCAGATACGGAACTCGTAGGATCCGGCCTTGGTCATGTAGCGCACCCACTTCACCGTCTGGTAGGGCGTCTTTTCATACACCTGTGTGTCGTGTCGTTGGTCGTGTCGTTGGTCGTGTCGTGTCGTGTCGTGCGTCGTATGTCGCGTTGTGTTTCCGCGGAAACGTTCGTGGCCGTGAGTGGATTTGGGGGGAGCTCTTGAAGGGAAGGAAGTGGTCGCACCTTGAGGAAGCGAACGTCAAAGCCCGACGAGGTGAACATGGGCACTTGGAACTGCATCGCAATCGGCGGTCGGTTGGACCATCCCTTCTTCTGTTTCACACGAACGCCCAACGCCGGCCATTTAACTCTCAACGTCGCGAGTACCCCGCGCGTGTTGTGCCGTGTGGTGTGTGCCGTGTCGTATGACGTGTGTCGTGTGTTGTGTGTGCGTGTGTTGCGTGTGTCGTGAGCCTACCTCGAGAGATACGGACTGCGCGAGCTTCATCTCACCGGAGAGACCGAACTCGGCGCCGCCCGGGAAGCGCTTGATCTTCCAGATGACGGCCTCGAGTTCGGGCTTGTAGAAGGCCTTGCCCGCCGTGACCCTCAGCCGGCAGGTGGCCGTGTTCTTCGGGGTGGGGATCTTGATGATCACGTGCTGCCCGAACAGATTGGGCGCAAAGTTGGCCTTCACCGTCACCTTGATCTCCACGCGCGTCGAGCCCGCCTCGTTGATGGCCGACAGCACGCGGAAGGGCAGGTGCGGATTCTCCGTCGTGCGGTACCTGTCGACGACGACGACAGCTTGTCAGCGCTGGCGACGATGGTGACGATGGCGACGGTGGTGGTGATAAAAGAGCTTGAGGGGGGGGGGGGGGTGAAGGTACTTCATGAGCTCGAAGACGCCGTCGGGCGGAATGAAGGAGATGGTGCGGTCCGTGTCGAACTTGGTGAGCTTCACGCACTGGTGGAATGTGCAGTCGTCCAGCTCGATACCGTTCGACTCTTGCCCGGCCTATACAGCACCAGCAGGCCAACAAGAGCCGGTTCAGCCAAGGCCGACGGCGGTAGGACACACACAACACACACGGGCAGAGAATAAGAGGAGCGAGGCGGAGGGGGGGAGGCTTACGCCTTTTTGCCTCGCTGCTCCTTGGCCATGAGCAGCTTGTCGTTGAGACCGAACTTGCACTCGGGCATGCCCGACAGGAAGCTCTTCATGACCACCTGCCCGGCCACGTTGGCGTTCAGCACGTTACCTACGCACGCAACACACACACACCGTTTGCCGCCGCCCACCCGCGCGCCACAATCGTCAGCCGAAGAAAAGTCAACGCAGAACTCGAAACGCTGGGCGTTCGGCGCAGTGGCGGTGGTGCGCAGGGGAACTTGCCCTTGGCGGAGATGAGGAGGTTGACGGATTCGATGACGTCGATGAAGAGTTCGTTCTTGCGGTACTTTATGCCGGGCTGCCTCCAGGGGCAGGGTCCGGCGCCCGTCACCTGTACCGTGATCTTCCTGATCTTGTCGTCGTCGGCCGCCTGTGTGTGCGTGCGTGTGTGTGCGGTGTGTGCGGTGTGTGCGGTTTGTGTCACCATTAGTGCGCATACAAACGCTACTCAGGAGTGGGCACGAGTTGAGTTGTCAATCGTGTTGCTTGGAGGAGGCGAGAAGGCGTACAGCTACGGCGGCGAGCTTGTTCTTGTTCTTGGCCTGCGTGATGTAGAGCTTGAGGGCCTCGATGTCGCTGTTCTGCGGATGCCCATAGTCGATCACCTCTGTTCGCCGTCACCGCCACCCATGTGAGACACGACACCACACACACACACACACACGACACACACGCGCGACAGAGGGAGGGAAGAGCGAGAGGCACACCGTCCAAGAGCTCGTAGATGAGAACGAAGTTCTTACGGATGTGGTCTTCGTCGAACTTGCCGCCGAAGTAGGACCTGAAGATGAGGACCAGCTGGTTGAGGAGGGAGAAGACGAGAGCGCAGTCGACGTTCTGCTTCGTGGCGGCGAGCAGGTAGATGTCGCCGCTCCGCACGTGAAGCAGCGAGGTGCCGCTGATGCTGGAGATGGGCGAACGCACTTCCTTGGCGTTGATGACCTGCAGCCGAAACGTGTCCGCCACGCCACGACTGGAAGAGCGTCGTGAGCGAATGAAGAGAGGAGGAAGAGAGATTCGAAGGAGGTCGAGGAAGAGATGAGCCGTACCTTACGTCATCTCTGAAAAGGCGAGAGATTAGAACGTCGCCCCTCGAATTGAGCACAAATATGGCCGAAATCATGATGTAGCTCTATATATAATTACAAGGTACTTGGCTCTCAAGGGGGAACCGCTCGATGAGAAGGATGGGACGACGAATGAGTAGTAGCGCGCAGTGAGGCGGCTTCACTTCCTCGCTCAATTCGTTGCTTCCAGGCGATTGCCAGACAAACAAATAAAAGGTCGGTAAAATAGACCAAAAATGGGGTAAAAGAAAATCAAAGCATCTCACATCTTTTTTTTGTCTGGCCAACATCAGCTTGCCAAAGAGAGAAGGAAAGAGCGCGAGAAGATAAAGAAGATGGATGTGGTTATTTTGTTTTTTATTGTTTGAGGTCTGTGTATGTGTCGCCGTGCTTGCTGGTCGAGACAAAAATGGGGGCGGCAGCAGGCGAGGCGGGGCCAAAGAGAGAGGCCGTCGTTGTCAACGCTGCTTACAGCTTGTCGAGGAAGCGGTCGAGGGGCGGGATCTCGAGGGCGAGACCCTTCCTCTTGCGGGTGGCGAGGACGATCTCCTGGGGCTTGCCGGGGACGAGGGGGTCGCCCTGGATGACCTGCCAGTGGTCGAACACGCACTGGGGGAAGGCCTGGCCGGAAGTGGCCGAGCGGAGATCGGCGGTGAAGCCGAAGGACTCCATGACGGGCAGGTAGGCCTTGACGTTGTAGAGCGGGGTGCCGGGACGCTGCTCCTCAGAGATGACGTGGCCGCGACGCCTGTTGAGGGTGGCGTAGATGCCGCCCATGGCCGACTCAGGGCACTGGATCTCGACGAGGTAGACGGGCTCCATGAGGCGGGGCGAGGCGGTGAGCTGGCAAGCGTAGATGACGCGGCGGGCAGTGGGGATGATCTGACCACCACCGCGGTGGATGGCGTCGGTGTGGAGGGTGACGTCGTGGATGTTGTACTTGATCGAGCGCATGTTCTCCTCGCAGAGCACACCCTCCTTGGTGGCCCACTGGAAGGCGGCGACGAACGAGTCCTTGATCTCGTTAAGGTACTGGACACCCTTGGACACGTCGACGAGGGTGTTGGGGCCGGTGGTCTCGGGGCCGAAGCACCAGATCTTACGGGCCTCGGTGACGTCCCAGCCGTACTTCTCGGAGAGCTCGCGGGCGCGGGACTTGGGGTCGTCGCGGGGGGTGATCTTGCCGTCCTCGATGGCCTCGGAGAGGCCGTCGGCGAAGGGCTCGGCGGTGAGGTAGAGACGGTTGTGCTTGTTGGGCGACTTGGACAGACAGGTCTGGTTGGACTTGTCGGTGACGGTCTCGCGGAACGACACGACGGGGTCGGTGGTCTTGAGCTCGACTCCGGTGAACTCGTCCTGGAGATCCTTGAGGCAAATCTCGAGATGGAGCTCGCCGGCACCGGCGACGATGTGCTCACCGGACTCTTCGATGTAGCACCTCACGCAGGGGTCGGACTTGGAGAGACGCTTGAGGCCTTCGACGAGCTTGGGCAGATCCGAGGGGTTCTTGGGCTCGACGGCGACGCGCACGACGGGCGACACGGAGAACTTCATCACGCGGAGGTTGTGGGCGGTCTCCGAGGTGGTGATGGTACCGGACTTGAGGAGGTACTGATCGATACCGACGAGACCGATGGTGTTACCGCACGGGCAGTCCTCGATGGGCTCGGTGTAACGGCCCATCATGAGCACGGTACGCTGGATGTTCTTGATGAAGAGATCGTCCTTCTTGCCGGGCTGGTAGTTGGGACCCATGATGCGGACCTTCTGGCCGGTGGAGCACTTGCCGGAGAAGACGCGACCGAAGGCGTAGAAACGGCCCTTGTCGGAGGTCGGGATCATCTTCGAGACGTAGAGCATTAGCGGACCCTCGGGATCGCAGTTGCGGATAGCGGTGGCGCACTCGTCGTCGAGGGGACCCTCGTAGAGCACGTCGACACGGTACTTCTGGGCGATGGCCGGCGACGGCAGGTGGAGGACGATCATCTCAAGGAGCGCATCGGCGGCCGGGAGGAACTTCTTCATCACGGTCTTGAGGAGGGGCTTGCCGACCTGGTCCTTCTCGTCACCCTTGAGCACGATGCCGAGCGAGCCGAGCATCTTGTTGACCTTCTCGCTCTCGTGGTTCATGATCGAGTGGAAGAGACGGTAGATGGGGTCGAGCACGAACTGGCAGAAGGCGCGCTTGAGCGGCTTGCCCTCCTCCGAGGTGGCGGACTTCTTCCACTTCTTGGCCTTGGCATCGAAGTAGTTCTCGCCCCAGAGACGGGTCATGAGCTTCTCCTTCTCGACGCCGAACTTCTTGGCGTACATGTTGGCGAACTTGGACAGGGTGAAACCCCAGCCGTGGAGGCCCGAACCGAAGGCGACGGTGCCCTTCTCGGGGTAGACCTGGACGTCACCGAGGGCGTCGTCGTGGTAGGTCGAGATGATCACGTTTGCCGTCTCGATAGTCTTGGCGAACGACTGGTAGGCCTCCTCCTGGTCGAGCTGGAGCTCGAGAAGGGCGCGGTCCATCTTGTTCACCATGAGCACGGGCTTGATGCGCTCACCGAGGGCCTGGCGGAGCACGGTCTCGGTCTGCACGCACACGCCTTCGACGCAATCGACGACCACGAGGGCACCGTCGGTCACACGGAGGGCAGCCGTCACCTCGGACGAGAAATCGACGTGGCCGGGCGAATCGATCAAGTTGATCAAGAAGTCGCGACCGTCGGCGAACTTGGGGGTCTCGATCTGGTCGGGCAGGGCGTAGTAGAGCGACACACCGGTGGACTTGATGGTGATGCAACGCTCCTGCTCGTCGGCGCGGGTGTCCATGAAGCGGGCCTCTCCGGCCTTCGCGGTGGCGATGATACCAGCTGCGGCGATCAGCGAATCAGTCAGGGTCGACTTGCCGTGATCGACGTGGGCAATAACGGACATGTTACGGATGTTGCCCTTCTTGTCCATGATGGAACGGATCTGCTCGACAGTGAAGTTCACCATTTTCGATTATTGTGTATGAGAGTCGGATTGGTGATGCGGATCGACGAGAGATGCAACTGACGAGAGGGTCAGGTCGCTGCGGGGTAGATGTAGACTGCAGCCAGCTAGCAAGCGCAAAAACTCCTCCCCGGCCTTCGCCCGTTTGTAGCCCGCCGCGACCGAAATTCTTCCTATTTTCCTACCAATGACGGAGCTTATCCACCTTTTTTCTGCGTTCTTGCCGTCGACGACAATCGCTCGCGCAACTTTTGTGCACCTTTCCCACACCATTCACGATTCGGCATCGGGTCACACCGCTGAAAACTCGCCTACACCGCCCACGTCATCTTTCGCCTATTTTCCACGGACAAGAGAACGACGGCCCGTTGTGCGTCACGTTCTCGGAAGTGGGCCTGAAGGCGTCAACTCTCTCTTTTTATTGCGTTTGTCCTTCTGGCGCGGTGGGCTTGTCTGTGAGTGTGGGTGTCGGCGTCGTGGTGCTTGGCAGCTTCTCGTCGCTTTGTTGGTGCGCCGCCTGCTGTTCCTTGCTCGCCGGGGCGGTCTCTGTGTTCTTCTTGCCGTTGGCTCCTGCTCGAGTGAGCGCAAGTCGTGGGTAAGCATGTTCTTGCTGAAGCGCAGTTGTGTGCATGATGATGGATGAGAGAGAGAGAGAGAGAGAATGCAGGATGCCGCTGGATCGTACCGGCCGCAGGGTTTCCCTGTTCTTGCTCCTTCTCCTTCTGCTTCTGCACCCTGGCCTTCTTCTTGGCCTTCTCCTTTAGCTTCTCCCGCTTCTTCCTGTTCTTGGCCGTTTTCTCTTCGGCCTTCCTCAGGTTCTCCTCGCGCTTCCGTTGGAACTCTTCCTCTTGTTCTCTCTGAAGGCCGGAGAGATGATGAATACGTGAGTGAGCACATGCGCGTAGCTCGAAGGAGGGCGTAAGTGATCAACCAAACAACACGACGAGGCACGGTTGAAGAAGGAATGTTCATTCTGCAACCGCGCACGCTCAACCCAGAGAGTGCGCGCCTCTGGCAAACGGAGAAGCGGCAGAAGCAGGGAGGAGAAACAAGAGTGGCAGGTTTCCAGCATACCTTGGCCGCCTCCTTTTCAAGCTGCTCGAGCCGAAACAGTTCGTGTCGTCTCATGCTTCTGTATTGGTGAAAATCGCCGCTTCCAGCACCGGCGGTCGAACCTGCAACGCGAAATGATTAAATCACTTCAATTCGCCCAGAAATCGCTCAAGGCGAGGCGAAGGGTGGGGGGGGGTACAAAATCGACGTACCTGATACATTTTTAACAGTATTCTTTTCTACAGTGCGAGCGGGAGCGTCCTTCGAGGCCATGATTGACGACCGAGCACGAATTGATGCCGCCTATCTACAAAAATTATAACAATGGCGAGCAAGACTGAAAAGTTGAAGAAAACGCTGGCCGCAGAAAATGCACACAAAAACATTCGGCGAGATTGACAGACAATTTACAGCATTTTATCGAGATTGATGAACTGTGTGCTCTAAATCTTTAGAGGGCAGCCTTCTTCGGGCCATTGTCTCTGGAGACGGTTCCCTGGATATATCCCTGAGGGTCGGCCTGCGGCACGAAGATCTCGTTGTTGTTCTCGAGGCCGAACGGCTTCAAGTCGAAGAGCCAGTTGTGCTGGTTGGGCAGAGTGAAGTGCACGTTCTTGACGTCGTCGTTCTTGGCAATGATCTGCCTGCCCATCTCCCACACGGTCTGCTGCACGGCCTTGCTGTAGGTCGTGGCGAACACGTGGAGGATGGTCTCCTTCGCGCGGTTGTAGACCGCCGTGTAGTCAACCGGCTTCCGCTGGCACACGTAGTCCCACTCGACCGTGACCGTCGTCTTGAAGATGCGATCGGTGGCCTCCTTGAGGGTCGTGTACTTGTCCTTGGGGAAGCCCACAAATTCGGATCCGGTGGTCTTCATCACGAGCAGATTGCGCATGCCCGAGGTGACCTGAGGCGCGTCCATGCTCTCGCGGGCGAGGCGCACGACCGCCGTACGCTCCTCACCAGAGCCGGGCAGGAAGGAGTGATCATGGGGCTTGCCTGCAGAGATTGAAGAAGAGCGAAACGGCAAAATGAAGATTAAGATTAATCTCTTGATTGGCGTAGTCGTGCCAGGTGGCCAAGGAGGGAGCTTTGAGCGAATGGGCCAGCGCTTTGGTACCTTCGATCACCATCCTGTTCCAGGGCCTCTCAGAGATGGTCACCTCGGCCTTGGAGTAGTGCGCGTATTCGTTGAGGAAGTGACGAGCGATCGTGATGCCGAAGACCTCGATGTCGGTGAACGGGTGCTTCTTGGCGAGCACGTAGACAGTGTTCTTGATCGTGTCGGTAGGCACCACCCACGAGTTGTCGCCGTTGTAGTACGAGGTCTCGAGCTTGCCTCCCTCGAGGAGGACGCGCACCGCCACATCCTTGATGTCGTGCACGGGGCCGTTGCGAGTAACGCGCACAACGCGCACGAGGTCCTTGCCGTAACGATTCGCAGAGAGGGTGGCCATGTTCGAGTTTCTTGTTGTTTTTCGTAATGATATTTTCCGCCATTTTATGTGTTGACCTTGGTGCCGTTCGAACCCGATTGGGGGAGAACTCCCGCATTCCGTCGGAAATTGCAGAATTAACCGTAACAAGCACTCCACGCACGGACAAAGCCGGGCCGGAAGAATCCGGGTGTATCCACCCCTATCGCTAACAAGGCACATGCTGTGGGTGGCCACCACGGATCTGTTGTCTATTGACCACAGAAAAGGGGTAGTTGTGCTTCTTGGGCAACATGCTGCTCCAGCCATTAGAATTGGTACTAGTTTAGTTATGAATGAGGAGCACCAGCAGCCACATGAGCATCATCCACCTGAAGAAGATATTGTTGGCCAAGCTAACAATGTGGTTTCTTTTTTCACTTCAACACACAACATGAACAGTGCACATGAAACACAGCATTGTATCAATCATGTAGTGTGATGCACAGGATGAAGATAGCAGAATACTCAGATCATAATACAAGGGACTAATAATTGGAGTGGGGGGAACACCACTAGTAGTAATGAGTGCAGACAAATGGTACAGCATCCAACTTCTTGGGATCGCGCTGAGCGTACGGTAAGTAGGTCTACAATTATTACTGATTTTGGTGGAGGAATGTGGAGGAAAAGAGGACAGAAAATACGTCCGAAATTCATCAAGTAAGTCTTGTGGGCGAGGAGGAGATGGGGAACGTGCAGGTGCTGAAGGAGAAGGCTGTGGAGGAGTACCAGCGGGTGAAGGCCCTGCAGCCCCGCTCCGACGAATACGACTACCTCGTACTTCACCCCCTTTCGCTTTCACTCTTCACCCCCCCCCCCGGCCAAGGCTTTGCTCTTTGTGTTGGCTCGCCCTCACCCGTCGTGGTGGTGCATTGGACAAAAATGCAGACAATTCAGGACCTCCTGCGCGTCCGGCTCATAAACGTGGTGCGTGAGTACTCAGTCGACTTTTGTCACCTGGGCACCCTCTACGTTCTCGACCGGTTCGTCGCTCTCTCCCTACCCCCCCCCCCTCTTCTGCTTCTGGCCCTTTTGTTCACGTTTACGTGGCGGCGGGCGGCGATCGTGGGTCGAGGCAGACACAAGAGAGGGCGGTTCGACGAGGACGACTTCCTGGAGTTCATCGACCTGTGCTTCTCGCAGGAGAACTCTTCCGACTCCAACGGGAGACAATCAACTTCGCGAGGCGATTTTCAGGTACGGCGCGCGCGTGCGCGCACACACTCATGGCATGCGTGCGAGCCGCTTGTGGTGACGATGACCTCGTTTTTTGCGTGGTGGGCTCGATGTGGTGCTGACGCGCTCTTCTTTGTCTGCCGTGGTGGTGGCTGGTGGCTGGTGGTGGGAAACACGCAGACGCAATTCCAGGCCTATTGTACGTGGCAGATGTGGAACGCGATGGTCAACAACCCGAATGGCGAGCAGAAGTGGGTGCAGTGGTTCTCACGTCTCTTCTCCGAGAGCGAACACATCTTCGGTCCCAAGCGCAAGAAGAAGGCACTCCCTCGTTCGCTTCTTCTTGAATACGCAGTGCTCCGCGTGCGGCTCTCACTGTGGGCGTGTGCGGTGTGTGTCGTGTGTCGTGTGTGCTTGGCCGAGCAGGGGAGGGAGGGGAAGAAGTTCTCTTCGCTGACCGGCGGGGCGGGAGCCATCTCGCGATCAGACGCGGAAGCCGCGGCCCTGGCGCTCACCGCCGCTGCCAACAGTGCCATGCCTGCGGCGGAGCTGCTCAGTCGTGGCACCGTACAGCTCATTCACAAGGTAAGCGCAAGAAGGCGTCTCGCTCTCCTGTACGGGAGGAACTGACAAGGTTGGCGCTGTATGCGATTGCATCGTACGTGTTAGATTCTCAACATCAAGAAGGCCTACGGTGTTGACGATCGCGAGTTCTTCAACCTGATGCAGCGAGCAGCCGAAGAGATGGTCTTTGTGCGTCCCCCCTCCCCCCAGAGAGGAGGCCATGCGGGTGGATGCCGGCGTGGGCGTGTGCTTACCCGACAAGTATGCGTTTTCTTGTGGGCCGCCCAGGACTGGATGAACCTCGAAAACGAAGATCTCGACGAATACGTCCCCATCTTGGTCATGCACCAGTTCGCTTCGGACTTCGTCAAGGTACACACGCACACCACTCAAGGCGCCGACGCGCCGGTGGCTCGGCTCTGACTCGCTTCTGGCGTGCTTGTGGCCAGGGCTTCGTGAACCTGATGTTCGAGCTCGGTTTCGAATCGGCCTAGGCTGCTTGACAAGTGGTGCATTTGGTTGCAAGCACCCGCGCTGCATGTACACAAACAAACACACAGAAGTCCTGCTGTTGATTCTTTCAAAGGTCTAGGAACGCAGGCAAATGGAAACGGGGCGCAAGTGGTGGTGAAGCTCAAGTGTTTATTGGTGTTGGGCACAACACAACACGAGCACACAGATCACACGGAGATCTGGCTGGCAACATTGTGCAGAGCGTGGGCGATGCCCTGTGGCGGGGGAAGAGAGGTGGTGAGCGACAGTGAAAAAAGGTGTGAACAGACAAAGAGAGGAGAAGCTAAGACAAAAGGGCGTGTGTATCAGAACGAGTAACAATGTAATTTTGTTCATCAGTGATGTTCAGTCAACCCTAAATGGTGTCATCAGAACACACGCCCGTGGAGAGGATGGAGAGAGACAGAAGACACAAACTGGGGTCAGCAGTAGTACCATACCGCTCAGCTCAAGTGCGAGCGCGACCAAGTCTTGGGCCGAGCCGAGGCCTTCGTTAGCGGGCCTGCACGCTATGTCCTGGAAAAGAGAAAAAAGAGCCAGTCAGCTCCACCATAACGAGGGGAGAAGGTAGAAAGCGAATAGAGCGATCATCAGCACAGAAAGTCGACGTCACGTAGTGAGTCAGATCTTAACCATATTTGAAATTTGTGAACATCACACGAACGTAAGTTGATCCCCAAAAGAACGGAGATCAAGTATGAAGATGTAGAAGGAAAGTGTATGTACCTTTGCGCGCAAAGGTGCCGATCCTTAATGCATTACGGAGATCCGTTCAATCGCTCACGTTCATTTTCTGGACTGAGAACAGAAATAGATGAGAAGCGGCACTTTCAGCTGGAACAAGTGGTTCAAGGTACCTCAGCTGAACGGGGGCTACTTCTCCAACTCATCGGAGCGAAATGGCGTGCATTGCGGGAGGGAATGTGGCGCCGCCGGAGGCGATAGGGATAGACGAGATAAATAAAAACCCACAGGACGGACGCAAAGAGGTCTGCGTCGGGAAAAAAGCGGGAAAGGTCCGCACTGAGAAATAAGACAAAGAAACTGAAAACAAAATCAGACGGAAGCAAGCAAGATGGTGTGCAAGAAATGTACGTTCCCTCGCCCTCCTCGTTGCTTCTTCTTATTATTGCCAAATCAATGGCACCATGCTACTACCTCCCATCAATCGCGTTGTGTCTTTCCTTTAATCTTCACCCCCCCCCCCCAAACCCCATCTCATCTTGTGGCATTCAGGTGAAGCGAAGCTCAAGAAGGTGATCTGTCCCGACACATGGAAGGAGGGTTCACGAAACACGACCGAGCCTGGCGGCGGCGGCAGGAAGGTAGGAGAGAACAAACTGCTGAGCAGCAAGGCGCGCTACAACCCCTACGCCAAGAAGTGCAAGGTGTGCAAGATGAATCTGCACCAGGAGGGCCTCTACTGCCAAGGCTGCGCCTACAAGAAGGGCATCTGTGCCATGTGCGGCAAGAAGATCCTCGAGAACGTCGGCCAGTACAAGCAGAGCTCCAAGTGATCATTTGCAGCACTTCAACTCGGGATCACTCTCCCACGCGAATGCGTGCTCACGCCACATTGTAAATAATGCTCTCATGTGTGGATCGCAACTGCCACACGGCGATCAAGAGATCCAGAGGAGCAGAGTTCGCCGTTAGGCGGAGTTGTAAACATTTAATAAATAAAAATCAATTCAAATCAAAAAACACCATTCGCGTTTGCAATCAACATCGTAAACAATCGGCAGCTGACGGACGATCGCTTCTAGACCATGGAGAACGTGACCAAGGAGAAGGTGGACGATGTGCTGCACGCCAAGTGGATCATTCCCGTGGTGCCCGACAACACTGTGCTGGAGAACCACAGCCTAATCATCAAGAACGGTAACTCCAATTCTTCCTGCATTTGTGTAAAAATTCAATCGCTTGATTTTTTTATCGCCGATGGTTCTCCGACCAGCTGTCATCATATACAAACGAAACATGTTAACTTGGGTTAGTTGATCTTTAATTAAAAGATAATCGTTGTGCATTCATCTGGGCATGCTAATGGAACATGTTTGTCGGGACGTTGGGCGGTGAACAGGCAAGATCCACGACATCCTGCCCACGGAGGAGGCGCGCCACCGGTACGAGGGCGAGCGACACCACGCCATCGAGAACCACCACGTCCTCATTCCGGGCCTCGTCAACATGCACTGCCACGCCGCCATGACCCTTCTCCGCGGGTTTGCCGATGACGTGAGCCTTGAGGACTGGCTCTCCCAGTACATCTGGCCCGCCGAAGGCCGCTGGATCGGCGAGGAGTACATCGAGGATGGCACCAAGGTACGTTGGTGGGTGGTCGTGCACGACATACATACACACACACACACGCGCAACGTGACTAATGCCCTCGCAGCTGGCTGTGGCAGAGATGCTGCGCTGCGGTGTGACGTGCTACAACGACATGTACTTCTTCCCGCACGTGAGCGCCCGCGTCACCTCCGAGTACGTTCATCCGCCCCATCGCCAATTCGCTTAAAACTTTCGCACCGTCGGTCGCACTACGCCGCGGACGAGTTGATCGCGGGCTCACCACTCGGCAATTGACTGGCAGTTACGGTATGCGGAGCGCCATCGGCATTCCGGTCATTGCGTTCCCCTCCAACTGGGCCAACGACGCCGATGACTACATCGAGAAGGGTGCGCGAACGACACACGACGCCCGACATCCCGCCACGCGATCTCTCAACAGGGTGTTGTGGTGTGTGTGTGTGTGGTGTGTGGTGTGTGTGTTGTTCGATTGCTGCAGGTCTGCGTGAGCTGCACGACAAGTACAAGGACCACCCGCTGGTGACCGTGGTGATGGCGCCCCACTCCACCTACACCATGCACGACGCGGGTCTGCTCAAGGCCAAGAAGATCGCCGATGGTTGGCTCGCTCTTGATTCGATCGATGCTCGCTCTCCACCTCTCTTACTCACCAGTTGGCCGTTGCTCGTTGTGTCGTGTGTGTCGTGTGTGTCCGTGTGTGTCCGTGTGTCGTGTGTCGTGTGTCGTGGCAGAGCTGGGCATGCGGATTCACATTCATCTGCACGAAACGGCGCGCGAGGTGTCGGACCACCAGCAGAACAACGAGGGCATGCGGCCCATCGAGCGCCTGCAGAAGCTCGGCCTCATCGACGACAAGCTCATCGCCGCCCACATGTGCCACGTCACCGACGACGAGATCAAGCTCTGGGCCGAAAAGGGTAACCACCACCTTCACCACAACTCGTTTGCTGCTACTGCGTGAACCCCTTCTTTCTTCTTCTTCTTCTCACGCACCGAAACATAGGCGCGCACGTTGTGCACTGCCCGGAGTCCAACCTGAAGCTGGCCAGCGGCATCTGCCCGGTGCAGAAGTTCTCCAAGGCGGGCGTCAACGTCTCCCTCGGCACCGACGGCGCAGCCAGCAACGACGACCTCGACCTCCTCGGTACAGCCCTCCACACCCGCCTTACAAAAAGAAGGAGGATAATAATATTAATAATTCAAATTCAAATTAATAACAACAATAATAAAAAATCAGTGTTCAATGTAATAATAATAATAATAATATCGCTTATGGTGGCAGGTGAGATGAGGACCGCGGCGTTGGTCGACAAGCTGCAGGCCAAGGACGCCACCGCCATGCCCGGCTGGCAGATGCTCAAGCTGGCCACCATCAACGGCGCCAAGGTACTGCCCGTCACAGCGCACAGCGCGCAGCGCACAACGACGCTCCACCCAGACCCGAAGGCTCACTGCGGCTCACCGCGCCAATAGGCCCTGGGCTTGGAGCACAAGATCGGATCGCTGGAGAAGGGCAAGGAGGCCGACGTGGTCGCCATCAAGCTGAGGACCGAGCCCGTCTACAACCCCATCACCAACCTCGTCTACGTCGGCACCAACAGGTATCCATTCATTCATTCATTCATTCATTCATTCATTCAACCCACTCAATTCATCACCGTAAAGTCGTCACCTTCCATACCTCGTTCTCACTGCGTGTGCGTGTGCGTGTGCGTGTGCGTGTGCGTGTGCGTGTGCAGTGTCACGGACGTGTGGGTGGCCGGCAAGCAGCTGGTGAAGGACGAGAAGATGATCGGCATGAACGAGGACGTTCTCCTGCGCAAGGCCCAGCAATGGGGCGAGAAGATCAAGACCTCCAGGCCGCCCGCCAACCCCGCCCACGAGGTGTCGGCCTAAAGGCGCCTCCAACGCGCCGGTCTCAATTTTTGTTTATCATTTAATTCGATAAAAAGAATTAAAACGATTTTTATTCTTTTAAAAAATGGTTTCTTAAATAGAAAAATGGAAAAATTAATGAGGAGATGGAAAGAATGGCGAGCGACGTCGGAGAGGCCGTGGTGGAGTTGGAGCAGACACTGCACGTGGATCAGACGGCGGTCGGCTGCATCCTCGCGCTTGCGGCCAGCGACGATCTGCTCTTCGCGGCCACCCAACGGGGCCTCATCTCCGTACTCCTCCAATCGAGATTGTATCCTTTTTTCATCATTCAAGGTTTTATTTATCAACTTTTCTTTTGTGTGTTGTGATGGTGGTGGTGGGCAGGTGTGGGACAAGGCGCTGTTCCAGCAGAGGCAGCAGCTGGTCGAGGTGGGCGACCGGTGCCCGCTCGCGCTTGCCGTGATGCCGCGGTTCGACGGCAGCCTGCTCCTGTGCGCTCCCCGCGGCTGCATCGAGGCACTCCCTCCCCTCAGCTCTGCTGGCTCTCTGCTCCTTCTACTGACCTTCCACCGCACACGCACCACCGCACACGCACAACTGGAATGCATGGAATGTACGGCAGTTGTGGGACCTGCTGTCGCTGACGCTGCGGGTGCGGGTGGTGGGGTTCGCCGGCAACATCTTCTCGCTGGCGTGCATCAACGGGCGCATCTTCGTCGGCTGCCAAGACACCACGATCAAGGTGGCCAGCTTTGCTCCACCCATCATCACCCGCTCACCTGACTTTGCTTGTGTGTGTGTGTGTGTGTGTGCGTGTTGTGTGTGTGTGTGTGTGTGTGTGTGTGTGTGTGTCGTGTCGTGTCGTGTCGTGTCGTGTCGTGTGTGTTGTGCCGTGTCGTGCGCCGGCAGAGCATCGACGTGGAGCGGCTGCTGGAGCGGTTGGTCAATGAGGCGCCGCCGGCGCAGCCGGTGACTGTGACGCTGGCGCAGCTGTCGACCTGGGGGGAGGGCGTCCTGGCCACCACCAACGACCACCGCGGCTACGTCTACACCCTCACCACCACCCCGCGCACTCATCTCCGGCTCTGGCGATGGCACTGTCAAGGTATGTCGCGTGTGCGTGTCGTGCGTGTGTCGTGTGTCGTGCGTGTCGTGTGTGTGTGGTAACAAGCGACTCTGTGATTGCTGTGCGCAGGTTTGGGAGCCGGACACGCTCAAGTGCGTGGCCACGCTCACGGGCCACACGGGGAGCGTGCTGTCCGTGGCTGCCGACAGATCGTTCATCTACAGCGGCTCCCAAGACAAGCTCCTCAAGGTACCGCATTCACTCATCGACCGCATCACTCGCACACACCGCACACGCACCACCGCACACACCACACACGCACCGCCGCACACACCGCACACGCTAATGCGGGGGCCAACACAAGGTGTGGGACATGGAGACGTTTTATCAAACGCGTTCGCTGATGCACGGCGCCGAGGTCACGGCCGTGGCGGTCTCGGCGGAGCACCTCATCACCGGGTCGGCCGACAGCACCGTCAAGGTACCTCCGGCCAGCCGCCGCCGCCGCCGCCGCCGCGGGAATGCGCTGACGTGGGCGCCCCGACCGTGATCGGGTGGGTCCATAGATCTGGGACAAGGCCCAGTTTGCGTGCAAGCAGACGATCGACCACGGCAGCGCGGTGACCACCATCCTCATCAGCGGCCGCACGATCTTCACCGCGTGCGACAACGCCATCAAGGTACCGCACGGCACGCACACGACACGACACGCACGACCGCACACGCACACGCACACGGCGCTGCCCGTGTCGGGCATCTTTGGCTCACGCCGCGCCTCAGGTCTGGAACTGCGAGCAGCACATCCAGAAGAAGTCCACTTTGCTCGCCTCCGGCGGCTCCATCCCACTGCCCGACGGCCCCGGTATCCTCCCTCCCCTCAACACTGCCGTGTCGTGCCGTGCGTGTGGTGGTGGTGACGATCGCACGGGCGCGCAGACCTGGACGAGGCCATGCTCGAGGCGCTGCGGGCCTTCATCAAGCTCCGGACCATCAGCGTCGACCCCGCCATGAAGGAGCAGTGCTGGTCCGGCGCCCGCTTCCTCCGTCGCCTCCTCCGGGTCTCCGTCCCCCCCCCTCATCCCACCCACCTCGCGGCCCCACTTACGTGTGTGCTGCGTGTGCGTGTGCGGTCGTGACGCGTGTGCGTGTCGTGTGCCGTGCGTGCTGTGCGTGTCGTATGTGCGTGTGTGCGTGTGTGTGCGGCGACAGGAGGCGGGATTCGAGTGCAAGCTGGTGCAGGGCGCGGAGGGGACCAACCCGCTGGTGCTGGGCCGGCTGGGGAACGACCCGACCAAGCCCACGCTGGCCTACTACGGCCACTACGACGTCGTGCCCGCCGCCGCCGAGGAGGGCTGGGACAGCGACCCCTTCGCCATGGACGGCCGCGACGGCTACCTGTACCCCCCCCCCAAAGAATGCCACGCATGTGCGGCGAGCGTGCGGTGACCCTGTCGTGCGTGTCGTGTCATGTCATGTGTGTTGTGCGCCGTGCGTGTCGTGTCGTGTGCCGTGCGTGTCGTGTGGTGTAGGTATGGGCGAGGCGTGACGGACGACAAGGGGCCGATCATCGCGTTTGTGTTTGCGGTGAAGCAACTCCTGGCCAACGCGGCGGCCGTACGCCCCTCACCCCTACTTCCCCGCGCGCGCGGCGATGACGCTCGCTCACTCGATGGAGGGGCGGTTCGCAGGAGAGCGCAACGCCGCGGCTGCCGGTGAACATAGTGATGGCGATCGAGGGCGAGGAGGAGAACGACTCGCAGGGATTCATTCCCGCCATCGTACGAACCGAACTGTGTGTCGTTGTGTGTCGTGTGTGTCGTGTGGCTTCGTCGTAGCACTCACCGCGGTGCGCCGTACGTCGTGCGACCTCAGGAGAATAATCTGAGCTGGTTCAAAGGGACGGACGTGCTGTTGGTGAGCAACGGCCTCTGGGTGGGCAACCGACGACCCTGTACGCGCGCGCGACAAAGCGACCAAAGCTCTCGGTTGGTGTGACTCACCATCGCACAACTTGTGGTGTGCCAACCCTGCAGGCCTCACCTACGGACTGCGCGGCGTCGTTCAGTTGTCGCTCCAGATCAACGGAGCCAAGAAGGACCTCCACTCCGGCATCGATGGAGGTACCCCACACGACACGACACGACACGACACGACACGCACGGCTAGGCACACGCGACACGCACGACTCAACCTGTGTCGGCGGTTGTTGCAGGGCTGATGCACGAGCCGATGGTGGATCTGGTGACGGTTCTGGGGCAGCTGATGGACCGATCGGGCACCATCCTGCCGCCCCGCTTCTACGACGCCGTGCAGCCGGTCACGGCCGAGGAGGAGAAGCTGTACGAGGGCTTCGAGACCCAGTTCAGCTCGCTCACGTTCTTCACCGACAAGTACGGCGTGGAGAAGAACGAGGCCCTGCTCAGCTCGTCGCCCAAGGATCTGCTCATGCGTCGGTGGCGGCAGCCGAGCCTCACCATCCACAGCATCTCGGGCTCCGTCCTCGGTTTGTTGTCCATACCGCACACGACACTCACGACACATACAACACTCACGACATACACGACATACACGACACACACGACACACACAACACACACGACAACACGACACACAGGCAAGGACGCAGGCACGACGGTCATTCCACACAAAGGTACTTATGAGAGGCTTCGCGCACAAAAAGAATGAATGAATGAATGAATGTTTTGCTGAATTGCTTTTGGTGCAGTGACGGCGAAGCTGAGCGTGAGGATCGTGCCGAACCAGCGGCCGGAGGAGATCTACCACATGTTTGCGTCCTTCCTCCACGAAAAATTCGACGCCCTCCAGTCAGGTACCTCAGCAACATTCTGACGTTCACACACACCACACACACACACAGACACACCACACACACACACACACACACACACACACACAGACACATGGGCGCACACGCACGCACATTCACATCTTCACACACTCACGAACGCGTGAACGTGGACATGAACATGAACAGGCAACACGTTGACAGTGTCCAAAGACCACATCGGCGACTGGTGGCTGGGCAATCCGTTCAGTGCGTTTCCTTCGTCCCTCCCCGCACCTGCTCTGATTTTCGCGCGACCGACCACGACGGGCTTCGTCGGTGTGTGTCGTGCGTGTTGTGCGTGTCGTGTCGGTGTGTGTCGCATGTGTGTGTGTCGCGTGTGTGTTGCGCAGGCGAGCACTACAAGGCGGCGGAGCGCGCGGTTGAGAAGGTGTGGGGCGTCAGGCCGAGTTACATCCGCGAGGGCGGCACGATCCCCATCACGCGCTTCCTGGAGGACAAGCTGGGCGCCTCGGCCGTGCACCTGCCCCTCGGCCAGGCCTCCGACGCCGCCCATCTGCCCAACGAGCGCATGCGCCTCGAGAACCTGCTCAAGGGCAAGCGCGTCTTCCAGCACTTTCTCACCGAGCTCGCAACGACTGCGCACCCACCACGGGCGACCGTCAGCCCAGCCCACGGAGCCGTGGCCGAGCGTAGTACAGCTGAATGCGCAACAGCCACAGCCACCGAATCGAGTGAATAAGAGAAGAAGAAGAAGAAGAAGCGCCATCAACACTCACTCACTCACTCACATGATGAAGTGGTGGAAAACGATTGAGATGAAGAGCTTGTGTCGGCCGGCTACTAGTAGAGGTAGGGGATGATGCGGTAGGGCACGGCGCGGCAGTAGTCCCGCCAGGCCTGCCCGTACTTGAGCTCGCACACCCGGCTGTCCTCCCGCTCGCGCGGGAACAGCAGCGCGACGTAGTAGAGCGGGTAGAGCCAGGGCAGCAGGGCCGACCACCCCGCGCCCGCGCCGCCGCCGGGGAGGGCCAGCCCGATGGCCATCAGGATCTCGCCCAGGTAGTTGATGTGGCGGGCCAGGCCCCACCAGCCCGAGCACAGGATGCGCGAGCCGGGGACCACGCGGGGCGCGATGCCCAGGAACGGCGCGTTGGGCGGCCCGGTCTTGAAAGCGTACTTTTGGTTGTTGGCCCCGCGCGAGAGCGCCCAGCCGCCGAAGAAGCAGAGGGCGGCGAGGGCGGCGTGCGGGGCGGTGGTGTCTTGTTGGTCGGGGCCGCGCGCGAGGAGGGGCCACACGCCGATGCCGTAGAAGAAGGGGTAGAAGCACAGGCAGCCCCAGATGAGCTTGAACCCCACCCGCTCTGCGAACAGATCGTACGTGTACAAGTGCACGTGCTGTCCGATCAACGCACGGGTTAGCGCCGCACACAACGACGACACACACACACAACACACACACACGACGCACATGGCGATGGAGGGGTGGGAGGGAGCACCTCGTGATACATGTACTCGGCGACGAAGAAGGAGAAGAGGAGGAGGTAGGTGGTGAGCCCGAGCGACAGACGACCCCCGAGGGCGTGGTACTGCGTGATGGCGGCCGAGACCAGGACGCACTCGAGCACCACGGCGCCCACGAGGTAGAGGAACATCTTGTGGTCGAACAGCCCCAGGCGCGGGTTGAACTCCAGCCCGGCGTAGAAGTCCATCAGGAACGAGCCGACCCCACCACTGGAAGACGGCGACGGCGTGGATGGTGCCTTGGTGCCGCTCGACTTCTTTGTAGCTTTGTCTTCTTCTTCTTCCTTCTTGTGCTTGACTTGGTCTACGGTGATGGCCCTACGCCCCACGTCTCGCTGGTCGGGCGGCAAACGCTTCCCTGACGTAGTAGGAGAAGAAGTAGTGGTACGTGAGCGCTGTGCCTGGGCTGGGGTGGCGGCAAGTAGCAGTTAAAGATGAGCTTTACCTTTGATGTAGAAGATGAAGGAGCACAAGAGGCCGTAGATGTTGCCGGCGTGGAAGCAGGGCCATATGTTGTTGGCCAGGTACTCCCCGTCGATAACATTGGCGTACGACTGGACAGAGGTGTCAGGAAGAGTCATGAAGAGCAACTACCAAGTAGTGGGGCGCACCAGGCCCACGAAGGCCAGCACTACGACGAAGAGGACTCGCAGACCGTTGAGGCGGTACACGAGCACCTTGCCCTGCCTATCGCACGCGTAGCCAGTCACCACCGTCGCTGGCACCACCTGCGCAGCGCCCCCACCACCGCGGGTGAGAGAGCTGCGGTGGCCGGGTGCTCTCGCTCTCTCTCTCTCTCTTGTCTTGCAAGCAACCGGGGGGGGGGGATCGGTACCACGTGTAGAGCGGCACACGCCGCTATGAGCGAACCGACATACACGAGTGCGTGCGGTACACTTCCTTCTTGCATCTTTGTTGGCCACAGACAGCTTTCTTCTTTGTTACGGCGGAGCAGCAATCGTGCACGAGAAAGCAACGCAAGCGTTTTATGTGACGAGGGCTGACCTCTGGTGGTGGGCGACAGCTGTCAACCACCACCGCCGTTCGGCGGCTGTGCTTGTGAGGCGACGACAGCGCGGAGGGTGGCTGGAGCCTATAATATATAGGGGGCTCCTCGCTCCACCCGTGTCGTCGTCGTCTCTCTCTTTTTGTTTCCTACTTATGCTTGAGTGTCGTCTTCCTCCACTCGCGCAATCGCGTCACGCGGGAGCTCGAGCCGCACACGTCGTCGTCCATCGTCATCACCATCGCGCCTCCGTCAACTTCGAGCTTCTCGGTCGCCGGATCTCTCCACTTGTACACAAGAAGTCGGTCGGTCGGTTGGCGGTTGATCGCTTCAGTCGGAGAACTCCTCCTCTTCCTCCTCCTCCACGATTCGTCCCGTGAGGGTGATCTGCAGCGGCGTCGGGAAGAGGTGGGTGGAGAGGTAGGAGGCGACGGACAGCGAGGGCGCCGACGACGAGAGAGGAATGGGCGAGCCGTCGCCGACGCTGATGCTCCTGCCTCGCTCCACGGCCGCCTTCGCTCTTACGCTGTCGGCGTTGATGAGGGTGGGATCGACAAAGGGGCCGCTACATCGGCTGGCCGTGGTGGCCGTGATCGTCGTCGGTTGGTTGTGCGGCAGCCCGCACGCCGACGAGCACGACGACGTGTGGACCTGGTGGCGGTGCTGCTGGCTGAAGAGGTACATGTAGCGGACCAGTCGTTGGATGAGCTGCGCCTTGGCGCCCTTGGTCGACGCGTTCACCAGCTTGAGCTGCTTTTGCAGGACTGCAGAACGCGCACGAGAAGAAGAAGAAGAAACGCGAGCGTCGATTCGAGTTGGTAAGAGCGCATCGTGGGGTGGGCGTTGGTGGGCGTGGCCTCGTACCAGAAACCTTGAGGGTCGAGAGCGACGCCAGCTTCTCGAGGGTGAGGGGACCCGAGAGGATTGCCTTCGCCAAGTCGTCACCGGCCATCTCCTGCGCCATACGGTCCTGCTTGTCCCGCGCAACGGTCGTGCTGGCCGCCCTCCTCCGTCGCGGCTGAAAGGGAAAAACGAACCGCATGGGTTAGTCGTGGCCGCTCCCTCCGCTCCCCGTGGAGGCCGGAGAGGTACCCGCGGAGGCGTGGAACTGGAGGCGGCCTTCTTGGCTGCTGGCGTCACTTTGCTGCTGCTGACGCGCGGCCTTCTGACGCGGGACGAAGACGAGGATGTCGACATGGGAGCACTCTGCACCGCCGCCAACGCGGTGGTGGACGGAGGCGGTGGTGCGCAGAGTGTTGCGCTCGGTGAGGCGCCCGGGTGGAAGCTGCCGGCGTAGGGCGGCATGGCCCCACCCCTGGGAACGGAGCTCACCGTCGGTTGCTGCTGGAGCGTGGCTGGAGCGGAAGCGGGAGCGGGGGCAGGAGCGATGGAAGAAGGCGGCGATGAGGGGAGAGGCGACGACGACGGGGTTGGAGACGAGGGGTTGGAGGAGGCCTTGGCGTCGGGCAACGTCGGCGAAGGCGAAGGCGAGGACAGCGAGACAGTCGAAAAGGTGGAGAGCGACGAAGACGGCGACATGGAGCTGAGCGAGGAGGACGTGGAGTGGAGGGTGATATCGTCAAAGGACAGGAGCCCCGAGTTGAGCAGCAGCTGGTCCTCCGAGTCCAAGAGCAACGAAGGCGGGTGATCCTCGGTGTCGCTGCCTCCATTGAGCTTGAGCTCTTCGTCGTCGTCCCAGCGAAACGAGAACGCGTTGACGTCCGGCAACTCCTCCTGCTCGTCCTTCACCACAGCCGCTGTGTTGTGGAACAAGAAGAGAACCGTCGCACGCGTTGAGCAAGGCGAACTCGGCCCACGCAATGGCCGATCGGAATGCAAAGCACGTGCGGTAGCGTAGAGGACTGCCAGTTGAGGGTGGAAGTTGCAGTGGGCGAGGTACCGTTGGTGAGAAGGGTGTCGAGGCCGGTGCTGCCGTGCTTGAAGAACCGCTCCAGGTCGCCCTGGTTGCCGGTGGCAATCTCCTCATCCTCGACGTCGAATTTGTCCTCGAACTTGATGTCGGCGCCGAAGGCGTTGAGAAGGAACGCGGCACCCATGCCTCCTCCGTTCTTTCCGCGCGTGGTCGCCCCCTCTTCCTCTTGGTCGGTGATTAGCCAGCTGTCGTGGTTCATCACCATCGAATCTTCAAAGGGCTGCAACCAATCTGAGTGAACACAAGGGTGAGTGTGCCATTCAGAATGCATATTTTAGATTGTTGGCGAGCATCTTCAAAAGAGGCGAATTTTGATCAACGATCTGAGTGCCAATGTGGGGAGACATGCACAACTGGTGCAAAGAGGAAAGGGCATGGTTGCGGTACCATCAAGGGAAGCCTCCATTCTCTGGTCGAAGGAAGGCGTTGTTGATGGTCTCGATGGCTGTCTGCTCGATTGATCGAAGGGAATAGGCCTATTCTCCTCGGCACAAGAGAGGAAGAGGAGGGTGGGGCACCAGGCAGAGAAGAAGGCGAGGAAATCAGATCTGTTCGAGAAGAAGCTCGAGCCGGTTCGTCCAAGAATGAGATGAAGGGCGAATGGATGGATGGATGGATGGATGTCGTGCGAAAACGTGTGTGCGGCCGCCGATTCAAATAAAAACTAAACAGAGAACAAGAGCAGAAGAAGAGGCGAACGAGCTAAGCACACACAGAACCGAGATCCTCCAAGTGCTCGCAAAAGAGAAAAAAAGGCTTGGCCGCCAAATTACGTAAAATGGGCCGCGATGTATTTTTCCGGACAATGTGCGTGTGCGGTGGCGACAACACGCGTGTGTGGTGTCACAACACAAGCAGGCCAAAGACGACGGCGGGCTTTGGTGTTAGAATAACAAACATGTTTACATTTGTGGGTGCTGGCGGGGTGCACAGATACAGAGGCATCACGCCTATTTGCTTAGGCGCGCTCGTTGAACTTGAGGAGGGAGTTGAGCTTGCCGTTCTCCTCGAGCGTGGCCACGGTGTCAAAGTCGCCGACGTACTTGTCGTCGATGAAGACGATGGGGAGGTTCCTGGTGCCGGCCTTCTTGAAGACGGCGTCCCTGTCGTCCTTCTCCATGATGTCGACGGCGATCCAGGGCTCGAAGTCGGGCCTCAGGTGGACCTTCTTGGCCTCGAGGAGGCGCTGGAGGTCGAAGACGTCCCTCCTGCCCTTCTCGGTGGACGAGGTGGTCGAGTAGAACACGCGGATCTTGCCCTCACCACCAAGCCTGCAGCGAAGGTGGTCAGCGCAGAACAGAAACAGGGGACTACCACTGCACACAACAGCGCAACAAACACTAGGTAGCTGGCGGGAGAGGCGTACGAGATGGCCTCGAGGATACGGACGGTGAAGACGCTGCCGGGAATGTGGATGCCGTTGTAGGTGACGTGCACCTTGTAGAGACCAGGGGTGGTGGGGTTGTAGGAGACGTCGTAGGTGGCTGCGCCGCCGGGACCCTGCTTCTTGTTGACCTGGACGGGGACGTTGCTGGCGCCAGCGGGTCCCTCGACCTTGATCTCCAGCTTACCGTCCTGGGTGGGGGTGTCGACCACGAAGTCGGCGGGCTCGCCGGCCACGGCCTCCACAAGACCGGGACCGTAGGCGCGGCACTTGGCGGCCTGCCTGGAGAGCTCGTCGGCTCTGTTCTTGCCCTCGAGATCGGCGTTGCGGAAGTAGGAGATGTAGGTGATCACCGACTGCTCGTCGATGCGCGGGTTGGACAGGGCCTCGGGCGTGAGCAGCTTGGGAATGCCCAGCACGTCGTTGGCGGTGTTGATACCCTGGTCGCAGTTGTCGATGGCCTTGCTCGAATCGAGCGCGGCGTGGTGGGGGAAAGAGCCGGGCGCAACAGCGTCTGTGGACACACACGCACACGAGCGGTCAGCTCATCAAACTTACCAAGTCGCATGCATACACGCACAGCAAGGGAGAGAGACGCACTGGTAAGAGCGCAGAGAGCCTTGCCATCGTTCCAGTCTGAGCGTTGGGGAGATGCCTTGGTGTTAGGTCGTGGGGCTACAAGAAGAAGACGATGGGTTCGGTGCGCGTACCCTTCTTGAAGCCGGTGACGTTGTACTCGGGAATCTTGGACTGCACCCACTTGAGGAGCTCGCTCTTGGCGTTTTCGTCGCCCGAGCCGCCGCGGTTGACCTGGTACCTCAGAATGAGGGTCCAAATGAGGCCAAGGGTGATCCTGAGGTTGCCGTCCGTGATGTCCACTCCGCCTGTTGTTGGGTTGTTCTTAGTAAGCAGCGCCAACGAACAGCAAAAAATCTAATAATAATAATAATAATTAAAAAAATGAGTGGCAAGTAGCGGGGCCAAGGAGTGCAATCGGTAGAGCGATCGATCCAAGGAGGAGAGGGCGAATTACCGATATTGACGAGCTTGAGGCCTTCGGCCTGCACGAACTCGATGGCGATCTGGTTGTTCTCGTACTTCTGGTTGGGGACGCGAGGGTTCTTGTTCCACCTCTTGCCGATGGGCTTGCCGCTGATGATCTCGAGCAGGTTGAGGAGAGCCACGCCATCCTTCAGATCGGTCTTGAGATCATTGATGTGCATACCCCTGTCTGTGGGCAGAACGAGATTCGAACGGTTCTAATTAATGCCTGGCCCTACGAACGATGCGCAACCAAGTAGAGCCGAGATGGACGCCACACGCGAAACACAACAGTGGCCCGATGGCGGGTCAAGAAAAGAGAACGAACCCTTGAGGTAGTCATTGATCCAAGCGGTGAAGGTGTGCAACTGAATGTCCTGCCAGCTCATCTTGCTCTGCTCTCTTGTGTGGCGCTGTGTGGTGGGCGAGAGGCGAGGTGAAGAACAGCAAGAACTTAGGAGTGAAGGCTTTCTGGACGGCTCAGGAAAGGCAACCGCCAAATTGCCTCCCCGACAGAGAGTTGCGGGACAACCACTCAGAAGAAGGCAACACAAGTGGTGGCATGGCGACAGCGCCAAGATCTGCGGACAAGATGGTCTTCTTACGAACCTACGTTGATCGAGCTACGGCAACTGTTGATTGTTTGTTTCATCCATTCATTCATGTGCAAAACATTTTAATGGTACACAAAGATGCAAAGGGAAGCACGGCGCATAGCCACCAAATCGGCGAGGCGGAGTACAAGTAGAGGGGAAGAGAAAAGGGGAAGCACTGGGCGCACCAAATCGGCTAGGGAGCCACAACATTAACAAAGATGAAACATGAATTTTGCTGGAAATGAAACAAAGAGAAGAAAATCACCATGAAATTTTCAACCAGTCAAAATTCAAAGGAGAGGCTTGCAATTTGAATGCCTGGCATAGTGGCGGGCCGATGAAAAGTGGTTTTTTGCTAGGTTTGTTCTTTCTCTTTCTTTCTTCCTCTCCTATCGTCCTCTACACGGGTGTGCACCATGGCCGTCGGGTACGTGTTGCCGCCTAATCGACTGATAAAATCTCGTGGTTTCGCTCAAGATGGTCGCTGATCGTTGCTGCTTTCCCCCTCTCCAGCAAGAACAAGAAGCTTTCCAAGGGTGGCAAGAAGGGCCAGAAGAAGAAGATGTACGCCGCCACTCCGCGCATTCTTGCATCCCGGCCCTCGCATTTTGTTCGCATGTCTCATCTGGTCATGCTCTTGCAGCACCGATCCCTTCGCCCGTAAGGAGTGGTACAACATCAAGGCCCCCTCCGTGTTCCGCTCGCGCAACGTTGGCAAGACCCCCGTCAACAAGACGCCGGCACCAGT